GCGTTTACCTTACCCCTTTGACAAAAGTCACGAACCCTACACATACTCTCAACATGACATCCTTCCTGCCGAGAAGGGTCCTAGCAATCTCATTGAGCCAGTCCACGAGTACAAGCTGTTAGGAAACACAGAGCATGCAAGTGAAGCTGAAGTCCTGAAGAAGTTCAGCAATGAGGTTTTCCGGTTTGCAGCAGCCTGTATGAACTCTCGCACAAATGGGACCATTCATTTTGGTGTCGGAGATGAGCCTCACTTTACCCATGGCGAAGTCATTGGAATTTCAGTGCCATCACCCAATAAATTTGTGGATCATTTTAATAAGAGTTTGAAAGATTACTTCACAGAGCACACTAACATTGCCAAAAACTGTATTAGACAGCCACGGTTTGTTCAGGTTTTGAGCCTTGATACCACAATGTCAAACAGATATGTTATAGAGGTTGATGTGGTTCCTAGCTTTTCTTTAACTCGGGGGGAGGTGTTCAACATCACAATGATTACGTGTGACAAACAAGGGAAAAAACATAAAGAGGACTTTCTTTTTGTGCGGGATGGTGCAAGCAGCAAAAATATTCTTGCAAATAAAAATATTCGAGAAGTGCTGAGTCAGCTGAGTGAAATCAAGGAAAACATGAAATTCCTGGTGTCAAGAAGAGAAGCTAGCGAGTTGGAAGGCCCCAAGGAGCCAGGACAAAGCAATCAAGGCCAGAGGCTAAAACGATTGATTGGCTTTGGAAAAGACACCCTCGAAAACTCACTTTACAGCACATATGTCGTTGTTACAAACAAATGCCACCCGAGCGAATTGGAATTCCTGCAGTTCTTAAGAGAGATGAAGTTGTTTGCAGTGTTAGAATTTGATCCGGAGTCGGCACTAAATGGAGTCTGCAACTTCTTCCGCAAGGACCGGATAGCAAACCTCCACTACCCCAGGAATTACAACACCGGTGAGGCTGTATCAGTTATCATTGGAAAGCTGAACTTGTTCAGGCAAACCAGTTGGGTATTTTGTAATGGAAGAACAAACGGTGACAGTGAAGCAGATCAGCCGTTTACTCCCAGCGAGTGGCTGAAGAAACGTGCAGGGGAGGTCAAAGATGTGATTCATTTTCTTTGCAATCCTGATGTCTTGCCAACAGGAAAGAGCCTTGTCATGTTTCTGCTACATTCAGATGTTACTGAGATATCAGACCCAGTCCTTGAGACATTCTGTACATTCTACCAGAAGCTCGAAGGGGCAGATAACATGCTCTGCATTTGCAAAAATGCATCGATTTTCTCTTACTGGAAAGATTTAGTTGACATCCGATGCAAAATGGATATTACTAGCAAGTGCATTTATGATTTGAACCTAAATGAGATCAATGGCACAATTTTGAAATTAAAACAACCACATACACAGTCTTCTAGTCGATTTTTGCCATCTTCTGGTTCTAGCTCTGTACTTCTGGTAAAAAAGGATGAAGACCTTATGACGGCCCTTGACATTGTGTGTGAAAATGAATGCGAAAACACCGAAATTGAGAAAAATGCTTGTTTTGATGATTTTAAAAACATAAAGGAGGAAGATTTCTATAGAGGGGGGAAAGTCACCTGGTGGAACTTCTACTTTTCTGAAACTCCTGGATCTCTGCCATTTATTAAAAGGGACAAATACGAGGAGCTATACAATCTGATCACACCTGATGGAGGGTTTGCAACTCCATGTGTAATACTAAATTTGTTTCATCATCCAGGCTGTGGAGGAACCACACTGGCAATGCATGTTTTGTGGAACCTGAGGAAAAAATTTAGATGTGCTGTCTTAAAAAATAATACAACTCAGAATACAGAAATAGCTGTGCAAGTGATACACTTACTGACTTGCGGAAAAGGAGAGCAGTCAACCTATACCCCTGTTCTTCTTTTAGTAGATGACTGGGAAGAAATGGAAAGTATTAGAGACTTGCATCGTTGCATTCTTAATGCAGCACCCGTGAAGCAAAAACAAGAAACTTTGATGGTTGTAATTCTGAATTGCATGAGGTCTCAATTCCCAGCTGAAAGTTCCAAAAACAGTCTGATCGATAGTGTGTACATCACTAACAAACTCTCTCAGAAAGAACAAGGTTTCTTTGAAGCCAAACTGAATGAACTTAGAGTCCATCATGAGAAACCAGAAACGTTCTATGCTTTTATGATCATGAAAAGCAATTTCAATGAAACTTACATTAAAAATGTGGTCCATAACACTCTAAAAGACTTGAATGTGTCCACTAAGGAAGCACAATTAGTTTCCTTTTTAGCTTTGTTGAATTCTTACGTGAATGGCTCCTCTATGTCAGTTTCCCTCTGTGAAGAATTTGTAGGGATCAAAAATGCCCTGTGGGGGAGAGAAACACTGGAAGAGAAAATGAATCCTTACTCTACGCTCCTGATTCGCTTTAATGTTGAAGAATACGGCACTTATCAGGGCGTTCGATTTCTTCATCAAATGATTGCTAACCACTGCCTCCAAGTGTTGACAAAAAAACACAATCTAAAATTATGTGAAATGACAACAAATTTACTTCATTGTGATATGTTGTACAAATCTGGCATGGGCAAAGATATCCTTATTCAAAACATCCAGAGTATGTTGATCACAAGGCAGCGCAGAGAATATGGAGATGACAAAGACACGCTTTTTTCTCCTTTGATCGAACAGATGCAGCAGGAAGAAGGTACTACCCAGATCAAAGATGTCTTGGTTGAAGCCACAAAGAGGTTTGACAAGAATGCAACTATTCCTCAAGCACTGGCGAGACATTTCTACCTGAGAGAGAAGGACTTTGAGTCTGCACTAAAATGGGCACAGGATGCAAAACACAAAAAATATAATTCCTACATTGCAGACACTTTAGGACAGGTCTTTAAAAGTAAACTGAAACATGAAATTGAATGTGCCGAGGCTAAATGTAAAATCCTCACACCAGAGGACTTGGAAAAATACTTGCAGTTAGCACAGAAGGCCACAAAAGCATTTAAGGATTCACAAGACTTGGCAAACAGCGATGATTCCACTGACACCCCTGAATATCGCAAGAAAAAGCATAGCACTTACAATACTTCTGGGCATATTGGTGAAATGGATGTAGCTATGATAATCTTTGATGTTGTCAGGGAGGTCCCCTTCTTCAAGTCTGATGAACTGAACCACATAAAAATGATGAATTTTCTCAAAAACAAGATGCCAATCAGCAGTCTTCATGAAGATGATAGTGAGGTGAACTCTCAATTCATTTCAGTACTGCAGAATCACGAGAAGTTTCTTGTCACGTTAAAGCCTCAAGTCAAAGAGACATTTGTTTTCTTTGAGAACTACTTCACCTATCTGAAACCAAGGTCTATAGAGAAACAAACGGCAGAAGACAGAAACAAAAGAAAGGTTTCAGACCACTTCAAAAAGTACATCAAACTTTTTTGCAGCTCTGAAACCGAAAGGCAATCAGAAAGGGTCAACCAACCAAAACTCAGTTTACAACAAAACATTGAGGACCAAAGGAGGTTTTTAGAAGAAGAAAGAGCAGATACCTTTTCTGGACTGCTCCAATGTCTAAACGAGAAAAAGGGGTATGACATGCAAAAAATCCTAAATAGCTGGTCGTTCATTTATAAAAATTCAACGAAGAAAAGTTTGAAAGATACAACAAACATTATCTTGGCCAACATTGTTCTGTACTGTATTAATCGGAAGTCAGCCTCACTCATGGATTACACAACGCTGACAGCCCTTCTCAACGAAGCCTTGCAGGAAGAAGGAACCCATTCGAATTGTACAGAACTCTATTACTTGGCCATGTTACTTCTGTGGCCTGGGAGTAATGTTTTGCCGGAAAATGCATTTAAAAACATTTGTACCTACGTGACATCGATTAGGAGATCCTTTCATCGTCGCTTTGCCCATGTTTGTCGTACAAAATCTGCCATAGCACACTTCTACCTCGGCAAATCCACCCAACTGAGAAGAATAGTGCACAAGGCAAAGCTTGATAACAGTTTAGGGCCTGAAAAGAATTCCAAAAACAGTCTCTGGCAAAGTGGAGCCATATGGAAGGAGAAAACAGTGCAAAACCTTTTGCTTCGTGTAAAAGGCACAACCGAGAACGGTGATGTTTATGTCCATTATGATGGAAATCTAAAAATTCCAGTTCGTCCAGTTTATCTTGGTGGTGTAAGGAGCGGGTACAGCATTGAAGAGGTTTCTTTTTACCTTGGTTTCTCCATGGAGGGACCAGTGGCTTACAACATAGAATACATCAATGACTCATAAACTAATTGTGTCATTTTCCTCCGTTTTGAAAACAACGAGTGAACATGTTTTAAAAACATGCACAACATTATCCTGATGAAAGAAAAAAATGTTTCTAATTCATATTTCACATGATGTCGGGCAAACATTTTTGCTACACCAAAAATGCATGAAGCATAAAAACAAACAAAAAAACAACTGTTTCTCCTTGAAATAGTTCATTTTCCGTACCACCGACATTCCTGTGGTCAGACAGGTCTGCACATCACACATATAGGATAAAGAAGGAATCCATCTTAGTCTATTCTAATAATTCTAACACATTATTAGTGTGATAATGTCTCACAGCTGGATTGCACTTGGAAGAAGGTTTACACATTTATCTTCACGGCTGCAGAAATGGTTTAATAGTTTCCAGCCATTGCCTTTTGATGCGAGGTTGCTGAATTCCATTTAAGGAATACTGTATGTATTTGGGATTTATGGATTATAATGGGTAGATTAGACTACAATTGTGCCTTGGTTAGTCCAAAATGTCTAAAAGCAAATATGAAAAATGTAAACCAACTATTTAACATAATGGAAAGGGTTAAGGTTACCATATGCAAATATCTATGCAATCTCAGGTGTCTGAAACTCATTACATGTAAATGTTACTTAACATATCTTGAATAAAATTATCTTTAGCCTGATGAAGACTTTACATGCATATTAATGCTAGCTACTGTAAATTAACTGTTTCTTGTTCTGTTACTTTGTGTTAATTCTGAAACTTTGATTGTTAATACTAATGAAGTATGTCCTCATTGTAAAATACATATTATAAAAAGAGACCAGCGAAAAATTGCTGAGGTTCATGATCTGAAATAATTTATATTGCAATTGCTGCAGTTGTTCTGTATTTTAACTGTTTTACTGAACTCTATTGGATTAAAAAAAAAAACTGTAATAACCACATCTAAAGAACATGCAAGTCTCAGGCAAGGACCAGAATCAAAACTCTTATCCTAAACTCTATAATTGTTGAAATTTTTCTTTGTTTTACGAATGTTTGGGATTAACCTGCTTGGTTATCAATGGCCATAGGATAAGGAGGCTTGTCCTTCATTCAGAAAGAGGAGTTTAGCAAGGAGCAGCTGCAAAGAATTTGCAATTTGGGGTGGAGGTGGGATGAATGTGAAAAAGTGAGAGATGTGTGCAAGAGTTATATATAGCAAAAGTCTGTAATGATTTGGATCTAAAACAGCTGGGTGAGTTTAACTTGTCTCTCGCTATCCCTCCTGAAGTTTAGTTAAGAACATCCATTTGTTGATGCCTAAAACTTGGTATTCTACATTGGTGCATGTGGGGCTCACTGTGGCCAATCATCAAATATCACTATCATCCAATCAAAAACTATTCTGCTGCTTTTGCTTCTAAATTTGAGTTTGTCTGTTACTTCTGAATTTATACACTACTTGAAGTGACAGACACTCTGTGTACACTTTGCTATTAATCTATTACTTCTGTTTTATGCCTGTTTATACACTGGTGGAATGTAAAGAGTGGTTTAGTTCACTTTTTGCTCCAGAGTAAGATATGCTTTTAGTTTTCTGAGTGCAACTGTCAATGTCTAGACCTGCAAAGCAAAGATTTGTCAGTTTGGATAACAGAAAAATAAGTGGAAAGTTTTTCTTACTGTACATCAATGTTTTTTTCTGATTTTTTTTTTGGAAGTACAAGTAAAACTACAGCAAAGGTTGTTCTACAGCAAATATCTGTCAAATCTGGTTCTAGCAATGTATTATTCTTAACACGTATCCTTTTGTCTTTGCTATTGTACTATCTATGCAATATTTTCATTTTGTGTAATTAAAAATAATCATATGAATAACTGGTACTGTATGTATACTTCTTTTTTGGATAAAAGGACACTTAAAGTATATAGTGGTTTCCTGTTGGGCAAACAGAATTATCCTTAGTTAAAATGCCATTTTCCTTATATATGGAAGTAGACAAAAATGTGAGCTTCAGAGAGTGTGTGTATTGCATGATGTCAGCATCTTAAGTTAATTATTACAGACTACAGAAAATGTAATCAATCTGGCATACATTACACCTGAGTTTAACATTGAGATCTCTAGAACTAATAACAGAGGATACTGTAACTCTAACATATCAACATGACTCAACAAATGACTCTTTCATTTCTCACTTCTCTTCCCTTGAACAAGGCCTCTCTGACCACTTAGCTATTCTCTTCAATCTGGAATTACCTGTTTCTAACACTTCCCCCTCGCGCTCTGTCAATTTCTGCAACTGCACATCAATCCATTTTCTAACCACTTCATCCACTTCAGGGTCGCAGGGAAGCCAGAACCTGCAACAGGTGCAAGGCAGGGTACACCCTGGATGGGACGCCAGTCCATCACAAGGAACAAACCCCCAGAGCTAATTTTTCCGGGAGCCAATTCCAAACCAGTATGTGTTTTGGACTGTAGGAGGACACTGGCACACCCAGAGAAAACCCACATGAACACAGGGAGAACTTTCAAACTCCTCACAGACAGCGCACTCTCACGATTATAGTCCCTCCTCCTTAAGGGTGCTCCAGCCCTTTCACTTCAGACTTGATTAAGTGCACCTGACCCCTGTTCCCAGTCCACCTTAAAAGCCAGGCGCTGACGTTCATCCGGGCTCTGCATCTGATTTCCGTATCGTGTGAGTCCGGGACCTGGAAGCGCCTCGTCCCGTTAAGGTTTTAATCTCTGTTCAATCACCTGGCTATGGACTTATTCTGTGTTTTTGGATTACCCTCTGGATTACTTTTGGATTGTTTGCCTTGGCCACACCTCCCCCGTGCACCAGCACACTTTGGACACGCCCCCCTGTTTTTATCCCCATATTCCTGCATGATCTTTTTCCTAATGTTTCCTCACAATTCTGGATTGTGTCATTCGCATAGGGTCCATAAAGAACTGATCGTTACACGCACCAGGAACTGAACCCAGGGTCCCAGTACTGCGAGGCAGCTGTGCTAACCATTGCAAGACCATAAATAAATAAACCTTAAATAAATGACCCTAGCGTACATAAACATTGTTGAAATGTTAAAGATGGCTGTTGAAAGTGTGCATGTTTGTTCTCACCAAAAAGAGATCAATAATTGCAAATGTTCAGTCACTGCACAGATTCGTTTTAAAGTTCCTGCACGGCAGAAAATAATAATAATAATAATAATTGCTTACACTTATATAGCGCTTTTCTGGACACTCCACTCAAAGCGCTTTACAGGTAATGGGGACTCTCCTCCACCACCACCAATGTGCAGCATCCACCTGGATGATGCGACGGCAGCCATAGTGCGCCAGAACGCTCACCACACATCAGCTATCAGTGGGGAGGAGAGCAGAGTAATGTAGCCAATTCATAGAGGGGGATTATTAGGAGGCCATGATGGGGTAAAGGCCAGGGGGGAAATTTGGCCAGGACACCGGGGTTACACCCCTACTCTTTTCGAGAAGCGCCCTGGGATTTTTAATGACCACAGAGAGTCAGGACCTCGGTTTTACGTCTCATCCGAAGGACGGCGCCTGTTTACAGTATAGTGTCCCCGTCACTATACTGGGGCATTAGGACCCACATGGACCGCAGGGCGAGCACCCCCTGCTGGCCCCACTAACACCTCTTCCAGCAGCAACCTTAGTTTTTCCCAGGAGGTCTCCCATCCAGGTACTGACCAGGCTCACACCTGCTTAGCTTCAGTGGGTTGCCAGTTGTGAGTTGCAGAGTGATATAGCTGCTGGTCCTGGTCAGTAGCATATGGTCCTGGGGGTGTAGTAGCATATTAACCTGGATATTATTTTACAAGACTTCCATCATTTTGGGTATTACACAGTTGATGCAGACAGACACATGTACAGGTATAATGATAATGTTTTTCTTCTGAGGAATTTCTTTCCAACAATTGAACATACATATTTGAAATGTGAGGATTCCACAAATTCTGCCTGGAGACCTTAAACAGTATGAGCCAGGGCTTTGGGGAATTTCAGAACAGAGAGCTCTTGGTACAGCTAATCCTCTTTGCTGCTGCAGAATAAAGGAAGTGGTAGAAAAAAGGGTGAAAGTTCATTTACTACATTTACTGCTCAGCTTAAAGTGCTCCACTCTTTGTCAACTGCTTGATTTAGATTAGAAAATATTCCTCAAATTGGAGCAGGGTGTTCTGTGATGACTGTGTTTCTCAAGAATAAGTCCCTTTTGCACCAAGGAACTACCGAAACCAGGTACAGTGCTTTTTCCGTTATTTTTTCAAACTGCTTTTTAAACTTTTTAAATTGATTATAAGTAGAAAAAAGTATGGTTTTGGTATTTGTATTGTATTTTGGTATTTTGGTATTTTATTGTAACAATAATTAAATATCAATGCTATGTTAATCATAATAATGTCACAATTATACGGACAACATTTTTTGTGATTTTGTATGCAATGTTAGACTGATTTAGTTAAACATTCAGTAAAGCCTGAAAGCCATGTACAGTATTCTTACAGAACAAAACAAAAATACAACAATTACATTCAGACCAGTTACATTGTAGTGTTTTTTAAGTGTTTTTTTTATTTTATGTATTTCAAGAACAAAACCCATATAAAATAGAATGTGAATGGTTGCAGCTGAAATTGATTTTACACAGATTTGAAAGCATAATACTTCACCAACATGCAATGAAAAACTTTTAATTGTTAACTATGACAGTCAGTTCAAATCTCAAAGTCCACAGACCTCTATGTTTTCCAATTGTTTTTAATGACTTGGTTTTGAAGTATATTGGAAGAAAAACAGAGCATTAATTGAATAGGTAGTTTATAAAATTGGGTACTTGGGTAAAAAAAATCTGTGCTATGCCCCACATACGGCTTAGGTCAGACTTATGTTTTCGTAAAAAACATTTGAGTGTTTTTCTTCCGTGACAGTTCAGTGATATGTAATAACTGAATAATATCATTTGAATAGAACGGCAGTTAGCTCCTGTCTTGAAGGGCCACACCATTTTTTTGTTTTAATCTCATTTGCGTTTTTAAATTCCTCTTTATACTACCATATTAATCAGCTGCTTTGATAATCTTTAACAAATGAAGAGTTAAAAATATCCCCGTCTTATTTATTTTAGACTACAATGCTGCTATCTCCAGCTGTCACCTTCACCCTTCTCACTCTGTTTGTGCCAGCCTGTTTAAGTGGTAGGATTCTGGTGTTCCCTGTGGATGGCAGCCATTGGGTTAACATGAATATCCTCCTCTTGGGCCTATATGAACGTGGCCATAACCTGACTGTGATACGGTCCTCCACAAGCTGGTACATTTCAGAGAAGGCACCCCACTACACTTCCATCACTGTCCCACTAAATGAAGTCTTGAACTTGGAAAGTCACGACTACATGTCTTCGTTTCTACGGAGGAACATTGAGATTCGCCGAGGAGAAGGTTCTCCTCTTGCTTTCATTGCCCTGCAAAGAGAAATCATTTCTTTGCTCAACGATGCACACAGGATGACCGCACAAATGGTCCTCACCATGTTTGAAGACAAACACCTTATGAAGCGACTCGAGCAAGCTCAGTTTGACCTAGTCTTGACTGATCCTGGTTTTGGTGGAGGAGTCCTTGTGAGTTACTTTCTACGGTTGCCTTTGGTCCTTAATGTCCGCTGGATCACAAATGGGGACGGTCACTTTGCCATTGCCCCATCCCCTCTGTCCTATGTTCCTACAATTGGCTCCCGAATGTCAGATAAAATGGGCATCATCCAAAGAGCCAAGAACATTCTCCACTATGGCATAGGCCTCTACATTGATCATTTCGTGACCCGGCCTCATTACCAGGTTGTATGTGATCGCTACTTTGGCCAAGATGTTAACATCTACTCACTCATCCAGGGGGCAGACCTATGGCTAATGAGAGTGGACTTTGTCTTTGAGTTCCCGCGTCCCACCATGCCCAATGTCATTTACATGGGAGGCTTCCAATGCCAGCCCTCTAAACCCCTGCCCCCAGATCTGAATGATTTTGTTGAGAACTCAGGAGAACATGGAGTGATTATAATGTCACTGGGAACACTGGTCAATGGCCTTTCAGCTGAGCTGACTGAGAAAATAGCTTCTGCCTTCGCCCAGCTTCCTCAGAAAGTCATCTGGAGACACCTGGGGGAGAGACCTTCTACCCTTGGTAATAACACCTTACTGGTCAAATGGATGCCGCAGAATGACCTCTTAGGGCACCCTAAAACCAGAGTCTTTGTAGCTCATGGGGGCACCAATGGTATATATGAGGCCATCTACCATGGGGTGCCAATAGTTGGCATCCCTCTGATCTTTGACCAGTTTGATAACATGGTTCGTCTGGAGGCCAGAGGGGTGGCAAAGGTTTTGGAAGTCACAACCCTGGAGACTGCTGACATGCTTCAGGCTCTTCAGGAAGTCTTGGAGGACCCTTCCTACCAGCTGAACATGCAGAGGATGTCCAGCCTTCATCGGGACCAGCCCATGAAGCCTTTAGATCAAGCGTTCTTCTGGATTGAATACATCATGAGGAACAAGGGGGCAGGACACCTGCGCACAGAGTCCTATAAGATGCCTTGGTATTCTTACCATTGCCTGGATGTGGCTGTGGTCTCGCTGACTTTTCTGTTTGCCATCCTGGGCACCATGATAGCTTTTTGCAGATGTCTTTGCTGTGGGAAATGCAAGAAACAAAAATTCAAGAGGGACTGACTTTAAACATTAGACAGGAGCTATCTTATCACTACTGTATACAGTACACAGTAGCATACCTCACAGTGCCCTTATTTGATTTATGTTTGTATTTAACCTTGAGAAACAACTGTAACCGTAGAAGCATAGATTACATTACTTCAGTGCTGTAGACATTGTTTTGCTTCTCACTGAAGCCGATTATGAATATGCCAACAGGTTAATTGTGAAATCCCAAAACCTGAATGAAACATATAATATGTTTTCAAATGGATAAATGTTATGTATATTTTTAAAATTAAATCCTCAATTTGAATTTTGACTACTTTTGTATACTTTTTATGCAGAAAAGTTGTTTTTTTTGTGCAGAAATGCAAAGTATTGTCAGTTTGCAATCAATAGCTTCCAATATGGGTGCTGTACTGTATGTGCAAAGTTCTGGCTAATTGGCAAACATTTTTCTTACCTTGGTGGCAGCATGGCACCTCCATACATTAAGTAAGAGAGCAAAACAAATATGCATGGTTTGTTACATACAAAATATTTTTATTTGCTATTAAGAAGACAGATGAAAGTTAAGTCTTCACTTACCAAAATCAGAGAGTTTATTTTAAATATTTAAGCTTCTTAAAGTTAAAATCTCAAAAAGACTACTTTAAACCTCATTCTGTCCCTAGTAGTGTAAGTATTTGTGGAATCCAGTGTAGTTTCCCGAGTTGCAGCATACAACCAACCTCATTTTAGCTTGACATGATTTATTATATTTTATACACTGTACAGAGAAAATGTCAATTTCATGCTCTAAAGCAGTTTAAAATACATAAAAATACATACTTGTGCAAATGAATTTTTTTATTTTAATATTTTTGAGTTTTTTAACCTGGATATTGGCATTTAAAAAAATGGAATACAAAATTCAATATCCATGTACTGTACTTACGCTACACAGGCTGTGAAAAGCGGTTGCCAAGAAACGCTTGTAAACAAAAACGGAGGCATAAAGATGGCGTCGAGCTTCACAGCTAACCAGGTAAGAATACTCAGAATCTATATTTTATGCAAGCTTTAATTCATGATTTAATTACCCTGTCTGTTGCCGTCACATTTGGTGTAACCTTGACAGCCAAACGCATTGTTACGTTTCCAGAAAAAAAGGGGAACTCGAAGGGGAGGCGCGTCTTTTTTAATAGTAAAGTTACACTATGAAATGCATACTGAAGAGTAATCAACGAAGTTATTAATAAGTAACCTTCTCAACACATTGTAAAGTGATAAGATGTAATTTCTTGTAACATTTACAGCAATAGAGACAGTCTTCAGACATTATTAAACGAAAGGATAGATCTATAGGAGTAGGAGCTTATTCTTTTAAAGTTTGAGGTTTAACATTTTTTTAAACTTGAAAATCATATATTACCATTGATAGTAACAATATGAGGTTAGTAATGGAATAATGAAAGAGAGAAAGAAAAAAAACAAAGTTTCTTTCAGTAGTGAAGAAAATATATACTGGCAGTGGCAGATTTACTAGTTTTAAAATGATGACATGCACTATCTTTGATTTTCTAGTACGAAGACGCTTTCAAATCCCAAAAGCTTCAGAGTTGGACCATACCAAAACAGTTCAAAGAGGTATGAGATTATAGTGTGTCGTAATGTATTGTTTAGCCACATGTTTCTTTTGTAGCTACATTGAGCCTTTATGGTTTTAAGATTTTACTGCAGGCTGTTCTACCCAAAATAGGCCAATATCAGCTATATCGTAATAAACCTAAATTGCTTTTAGGTTTTCATGTCTGTTCACTCCTTAAGAAATTTTACAATGGTGAATCTCCCTGGTTATTTTGTACTTTTGCTCTGCATGATGTACTATTCTACCAAGCTTTTGGAGCTATGATGATTCCATGACTTTGTGTACTAAACTTCTAGCACTGGAGCTCTTGGACAACTTTTTTGAGGTATACAGGGTCTTAAACACAAACTGTATATCGCTCTCAGGTCTTAAGCAAGTGATTGTTTTAAGTCAGTTGCAATCAATTTTAGGGCTGCGTATCTCAAGGTTTTTTTATTTTTAACAAGAAAACATGTTATTCAGCACAAGGCTTTTATACTGTACATCATTTTAACATCATTTATGCAATCCTAAAAATGTTACATTAGTCATCTTCAATTTCTGAACCTATACTGTTGGTGCAATCAGGATTCTACCCTCTTTATGGCAGTTTCTGTAAGTTACATTAAAAGTCAATTCCAAAATTTTGTCTTTTGCAAACCCTTCCCAGCAATATTATATACAGTATGTCAATAGGCCCCAGGCTAACGGAACAGTTAGCTTTCCTATCAAATTTAACATCCTTAAATACAGGTTTTGCAACTTTTTTACATCTCTCTTTAGAAGGATGTCAATGCCACTTTTGTCCTATATTCCTGTTTGAACCTATATTGCAGGTTAAGTTAGTATTATACATTTCAATATCTGTGTTTCAGTTTACATTGATAGTACCAATTTCAAATCCAACCTGACTTAACCCTGAAATATTCTGTTTAAACTGTTTAAAGAATCATTAATAACCCCGAACACACAAAATATTTATGTTAATGTTATTATTTAGCCTTGAACAAACCCCAAACTGTAAAAAATATAAGTTGATCTAAAATGTGAATCACAAGCATTGTGGAAAAGTACACCTACATAGTAGTAAAATTTAACATTCTACATTGTAACGTAGGCATAACCAGAGCAGGTCACAATAGAAATCAGATCACAAAGATCAATACCTCCATTGTCATTGTCCATTGTACCTGTGACAAAAAGTGAGTGACTGAAAATAGGGACTAAATCACCTCTTTTAAGACGGAGAGGTAAAGTCAAGATAGGTACTGTAACAAATGTGTGCGCTCTATTTCCCTCTGTGTTATGGCTTCTGCAGAGGCCCTCTAGATTGGATGGACACACTCAATTCATCGTCAATGACCGCGGTCACCTCCTGCCCGGATTAAAATCCAAGGTCGGGTCTTCTTCCTTCACTTCCAACCTGGCCTTTGTTCAAATAAAAGTATTGGACTGTTTTTGGTTTTCTTTGACCCCTTTCCCAGTTTGAGAATAAAATCAAGCAAAGAAAACATTTCTTTGAATATCTTATCTAGTACATACTATCTTTTTTGTTCATTGTGTTCTGGGAAGAAGCTATGATGTATTACATTTTTACACCAACTAAAAGCTATAAATACAGTAACAATGAATATACATTATGGCAAATCACAGTTAAATTATCATTATTCTTCTAGTGCAAACATCTCTGATTTATGACTTATGTTTCTAGTGATTGGTATTAAAAATGTATTGACAGGTATTAAAATGTAAGTTATGAGTATTGGGAAGAGTTATATTTCAGAGTCTCACAGTTCTGCTCCTATACTTCTTTGGTGAAAGCATTTCCACTCATTGTTTAAATGCTGATCTCTATGATACAAATCTGATAAAGATGCTGGAGTTATATTTGTGAAAGCCTCTGATATTTTTTCTGTACAGAAGCAGACAGCATGGGGCTCATATGTGGGAACTTGGGATTTGCCTCGCCGCATCTCTCCAGGTTACATCAATTACACTGCCAGGTCAGAAGGGGGTGTTGCAAAACTTAGAACCTGGGTAGAAAGGAATTCTTTCAGCATCAACAGCCGAGCCGAGAAAGAAAAAATGAACAAAGACCCGGTAAGAGCATTTAATCCCTCTGCACCAATACACAGAGCTACAATAAACAATTGCTTGGATTTCACAAGCATTTAAGGCAACGTTTTCTGAACCTGGTTTGGGGAGTCATCGAGAATCCAAGCGTTTGAAAACTCATGGTGTGTAAAGAAACCCCACAATCAAATTCAGGTCTCAGAACTTTCTTTTATACACTTCATCCTTCCCCCGTTAGAATCACTAGTTTTTCAGCTGCTGATTAACTTGACTTGAGTGTTTTCACTCTTGTATGGGCATGAAGGGGATAAAGATCTTGTATGGTTAACTCAGAAACCTGCACTATTGCAGCACTAAATGGATGATGTGTAGGCAAGGGAAGTTGAGGATAGCCTGGTTCACTCACTTCAGCCAACAGTGCGTGAGTGCTTTGGGAATCCTATCCATAGCTGATTGTGTCAAAGTACATTTTCTGCAGTGCTGAATGAGTTTCTTAACTACAAGCCAATTCTGACTTTGTTTAAACACATTATAAAGTGGTGTTAATTTCAAATAAAACTTTGATGGTTGGAACAAATGGAGTTAGGAAACAACTAGTTGAAACAATAGTTCCCAGCCATTTTCTTGATGCACTGAACTTGTTTTACTCTGTTTTTCTGCTTGTGTTATATCATTATATTTATATTTGCCTTGCTAACAATTCTACCCAAAGTAGCTTCTAGAAAGACACTTTCAGGCAAGGCATGTCCACTGTAAAGCAGCCTGCAGCAGTAAATTCCGAGAGGTATTAAAAACACAACAAAGGAATATTGGATCCAGTATTGCCTCAAAATATAATTTCAAGTACAGGTCTTTTTCTGATCCACAAAGCCTTTTCAGAATACATTCTTTTCAAGTAATAAGTAGAATGAAGTATAATATAAACCAGAGATAGTTAACTACTGAACCAGATGAGCCACCGTGTCCACTGGTTTTTATGCTACTCTCAATGACTTGCTTTGAATCAATTCCCAGTTGATTCATTGTTGTTTTAAGAACAAGCAACTTCTAGGAGTTATGAGCATAAACAAGTTTTTAACAATACTGAAATCAGAACCATCTGAAAATTCCACTTTGTGAAAAGTCAATAATTCTACAGAAAATATGTACTGTAGCTCATATGCAGCTGATGAGCCAGAAAAATTGCACCTTTTAAAGTGAGCCCAACTGCAGACAGTTCAAATGCTTTGCAGAGAAAATAATTTTTAATTATTTATGTAAACTTCAACACAGAAAAATTGAATTTAAAATAGCTTTACAGCTGATTATGACCAATGTCCGAAGACCCAATCCAGCTTTATTAATTGTAAGTTACTGGGTGTTATCTCCGTTTAGCAAACTCCAATTAACCAAGAAGAAATACAGCAGCCTGAAGCCTCGCCGAGACCTCCGAGTCTCGAAGGAGCACCTGCCACATCCCGACCTGCAACCCAGGAGAAGACGGACTCTCCTCAACAGGAGGCTTCACTTCTGCCACCAACTGCAGAGAAGCCCACATCTGAAGCAAACTGAGCAAGGGGTGGGGGGACTTCTAAGACTTCATAAAGTCATCACTTGTGCATCATAAAGTAATCAACCACGTCTGCTGCATTTTGTGATATTTTGGAGTTCAAAATTCACAAAAACTTAAAAAGGTTAAGTAAAAGTGTACTTCTACTCAAGGTCTGTTGTGCTCATGTTTTATAATATGAAAGTGAGGTAAACCAAATTCTATAGTTTGCTCAAGGAAGAAAATTGTAAAGGTGAGCTACTAAAAACAATAACAATATACTGTACATATTTTTTAGCTTAGCAAAACCTAGTTTCTCTGCATGTAGTATTACTGTATGCTGATGTCTTTCAAAGGTCAATAATTGTATTTTCATTCACTGTTTATATTGTTTTAGATGGACATCCATAATTTACATAATTATTACAGCAATTCCAAGGATTCACATGGTATAAACTGCTTACAGGAACCATATATGCCAGTTCAAATGATCAATTTTTCCTTGTAACACTTTTGAAAGCACTGATTGCTTGCATTCCTGATCTAGTGTCTCCTATTCAGTTTAGCTGCTGTTCCCAATGAATGAAATAATCTACTGTAACTCAAAGTGAAGATAGAGATCATGTATTATATGGATTATGGATATATGGATGTATAATGACCAATGTTGAGTAATCTGCTCACCTACTGTAAGTGCAAAATTCTCCTGAGCTGAACTCAGTTTTGAGTAGGAAGTGTTTCAGATTCCACAGCAAAATGGCTTACAGTAGTAATTAATGCCAAAAGGGGAAAGCTCCCTGAAAAGCTGAAATAAAATTAAAATAAAATTCTGATCCATAATCCATACAGTAAAAGTGAAAAATGGAAAAACCACACAACTAGTAATTCAGCAGAGGATGAAAAAACTACCAATGCCAGTTAGTGGCCACAGTTGTGAGTACATACACAAATTTAGCATGTGATTCCATTATGTTTGTTATATTTTCTAGAAGGACTGTTGCAACTTCTTTTAACGCATTTAAGACTTTTAAAAAAAAAAATACAGATCCCCCTTGAAGAAAAATGTTTTACATGTTCATTTTAATTTGTGTATCCTTCCTCATTTGTAGCTGAACCAAAACAAGCATAGACTTCTGGGCTATTTTTATTTTGCGATTTTATTATATCACAAGCTATACATAAAGGAAAGCAGGGTGCTCTGGCTCACTGGCCAGGGGGTTGACAGTTTGATGAGGTTTTCTCATTGGCGTTTTAACCTAGAGGATATATCAAACATCAAGTCTTTTTTTCTTTACATCTTAGGATAACTGCTGCAACCAGACAGAAGGAGCCTTCACACCATTTTCAGTATAATTTTGTAAAATTCTCAACTCCAATCATACAAAGTCTTTAAAGAGAAGTGTCCCAGGCATACATTACAACAAAATGGATCGCGGTCTGTCCCTGTACGTTCTTTCATGTAACTGCAATGCTTTGCTGTTCAATTACAGATCAGACTGAGGACAGTCTTTTGACTTCAGGTTCTTTCAAGGCAGCATTACATGGTAAAAAGATGGTTTAAAGTTAAATGTACCAGGTATCATATTTATATTACTTTTGCAGGTCTTTGAAACTATTAAGCAAAGAGGTTGGACTTTCAATTCATGAAAGCAAGGACTGTAGATAACAGAAGCTGAACATTTTAATGATTTTGTCCAAAAAGAATTTTGCTTTAAAATATCCTATTTCAACAGCTGGCCCAGGTATTCAACTCCACACTCTTAAAGTAAAAATACTATAGGTCCATTTTCCTAGTTCAGGCCATTCAAGGTTCTCCATTAATGTCTACATCAAAATGTGTGACAGGAGCAATCCATCACATTTAAACAAACTTAAAACGCCTTATTCAAGACATATTAATATAACAGTCTGTAAATAAGATTGGCTGGACAACTCCCTCTTGTAATAACAAAAGTTAAGAGAATTCATAAAAATTAAAAAGCTCCCTACTAGCTTTTGAATTTCCTCTGGAGGCTTTACACAATTGTGGATAAAGGTATACACCTCCATACACACGCTTTGTAAATATAGGTGCCCACTGTTAATACATTGTAGTTTTTATTGTCCTTACTGGTTTATTTAGTAGGATTAGAATTTGCCAGTGATACTGGCATTCTGTAGTGTGCAAACATCTGTCCACGGCTACAGTGTCAAGATATTACAGAGTTCTTCGTGTGCTGAAACCAGGTTCTACAATATCAATGTACAGTGAGCACCACCATCTCTATCCCACATAGCTGAGTCTTTGAAAAAAGATAAAAAATGCAACTCATAGTGAATCGGCATGAACTGCTCAATACAAGCCTTACCTAACCTAAGGTCTAGGAAATAGAATGCTGTGACGATATGCTGTACTGAAAGGTGTTACAAATGCAACAAGAGAATACTGGAACCAATAGCCTTTGTGTTTTTAATGCCTTAGTATACGGTGTATATATACACACACATAAAATGTTAATTCTTTGTGTTGAGAAGACATGTTTCTCAATTTGGTCGTTACACATATCAGATAGTTCCATTTAAAGGAAATGAGTTTTGAAACACGAAGTTAAAAGCATAATGCTCTTCGTAATCATCCAATATGCAAGTTGCGTTACTGGACTCCCACTTTTGCTCTTTGTTCATGCTCTGATCACAGAGATTCTGCACGATGTGTGGCATTCATTTGAAATGAATGACCCATTGATCAAGTTAGAAACCATAGCTCATTTCTAAAGGGGACTTTATGACACTATTCTGCAAAACTACTGAAATAAGGCACAGTCTGACCATAGCTCTGATGTTTAAAAATATCCACAACTAGAATTACATGGGGTGCAGCTGTTCTTTGAAAGGATTTAGCACTAATAAAAAAGCATATTTAACAATTTCAAGATATAACACTATACAGTTCTTTTTACAGGCATTAATACATGCTCTTTCTACCTGATTCACATGTAATAAAAAATAATGTTTACTTATGTTGGAAGTTTCACCTTATTAAAATAAAGTAAGTACCATCTTTAGTAGTGACCTAAACTTTAAAATGGACAAAACAGAGCTGCTGTACACTCATGAACTCTATTTCACAAATTACAACAAAGCTTCTTTTGAAGTCAAACCAAAACATTCTATAATTTAAAACCATACAAAAACGTTTTCAGTGCAGAAATTAAATAAAAATTCCAATGAAGCACAAAGGCCAAAATCTTCATCTGCACCACCGTTAACTACCCCAGTCAAAATGTATGCAAATTATAACAGTGCACATGGGTAGCACAATGCCTAGGGGGTCCATTTAAACAACAACTGCAGAGATGAATGTCACCGACTCAATCACCATAAGCAAGAAGCAGTTTTCTCAAGACTACAAGCTATTGAGAACAAGACAGTGTACAGTTATTCCTCATACACATCGAGCTATGTGCTTTAATACAAACACCTATTCTATTTGAAAAGGGATAAAAGAACATGTGCAAAAGAAACATTGATCTCTGGAGTGCAATGAAGCACACAGGACAGGACTCACCAGAATCTACTAAAGGATGCCTCTGGCCAGCTACATTCAAGCAAATTGGAGAAACCTTCAAGTTCTCCAAGAGGTTGTCAGCCATCATTCAGATTAAGGATGCAAAACCTTACCATCTTCATGTGTATAATGTAATTGATAAAGAAAAAAAGAAAATCTGATTCCTTGTTAACCGACGTAACCAGTTAATGCATGTACTCATGAACAGCATAAAGAGAATATAAAAGGACACCTCTGAATATGATTCTGCTCTATTTCCTTATTTTGACTGACATTCTCTGCTTTACAACCAATCAGCTGTACAAACAGGACTAAACTGAACAATCTTTAATAAAGCTGAGAAAGATTTCAACAAACAGGAGGGGGATTTGCCTTCTTTAGAAGGAACTCACAATGATACTATCATATACAAATTTGCTGTATGATCCGATACTTTCACTACAAGCTCAGATAGTAACAGCTCCATGAAACACCCCAATACTGTCAAACAACTGTACATGGGACACAAACTCATCTTTAAAGGCTTACAAACAAGAGGTAACTTTCCAACAACTTCACTTTTCAAATGACATTTAAAATCTGTCAAAAATAACCCACACATTAGATTATATAAGGTTAATGCTACAAATAATAAGATTAATTCAAGGAAAGCACTTAGGCTGTAGCAAAGATGACCTTATTTAACTTTTTCTAGAGAACCTCCATATCCCTAGATTATGGAATAGCATAGGAATCTGTGTGTTTTCTGGCTTGTCTTGGAATTTGTTGTTATAAATGAATACTTTCACCACTTCTTACTTATGCTAGAATATCAATACCATGTTTCCTTTATTAAACTATTCATTTACAAAGTATTACCATGTAGCATTGAGTTATGGTGGGTTGGATGACCATACAGAAAAACGTTTACTTGTAACAACGGATTGGCCATACTACAATAGCTTGCCTGAGCTCAAAGGTGTAATTTTCAGGTTCTTCAGACCAATGCATACAATTTAAGATTTTTTGCAATTAATTATTCACAATCCAAAAACAAGAGCAAAAGGCTTACTTTATTCTAAAGCAGTAACATCCATTCCTGCTTCTGAAGGACTTGTGAATTTCTTGGGACCTGAGCTCTACATGACCAGACTGAATCATAGCCCAAGTTGGGTCCAGATATTTTTTCCATCTTGGATTTTACGATGCCTAGCAAACATGCAAGGCTGTGGTTACTCAAGACATGTGCGTATTACTGTTATAAACTTTAAAGGAGGTCAACTGAGTTTGAGGTATGTGGGGAAACAAAAGGTAAGCACAGGTTATATGCCCCACCCTGCATGTATTTCATGCATCAGACTAATGTATAGCTTTACAAGATTTACACAGTTGGAAAAGTGTATTTAGATCCTACTGAAAGGACTTCTAAAGTTCATAGACATGAGAGCTCAGTCTTCATTAATATTCTAGTTCGATTCACACCACTGCAAAATGTATTGTTCCATTTAATTCCTTGTAAATGCCTTACATGTTGTCTGAACACCTTAAATAAAAGTATGTTGAAAGTTACCTCCCGTTACGTCAAAATCCCTCTCAAAGAACTCCAGTCTGTCTTGGTCATCCACCAACTCTCACACACACTCGCGCGCACTCACACACACACAGAGCGGTTCTGTAAATGTTATTTATATATGTACACCCAAGGGAACTCCGGTTGACTGTCTCCTAGGAGGCTTCTCTTGCTCCAGTGCCCCCTATGATCAGGTTGCGTAGTAGTTTCCGTCGGCCTGCTTGGTAGTCCTCCTCGTCTACATTGACAAGCAGTTTGATGGCTTCATGGCCTACAGCCTGCTTCAGGGAGTCGGTGATGAAGACGCCCTTGAGGGCCTCCAGCAGTGAGCCATTGATGTAATCCCTCCAGAAGGCATCCAGGTACGTTAGTTCCGAGAACTTGATGTCGCAGATGATGGAGCCCAAGTCCCGGGACTTGAGGATTGTATTGGCCTGGTTGAACCTCTCAAACTGGCGCTCCAGGGCCTCCTGCTTGTTGGAAAAGACATTGCCCTGGAGGGCTGACTCATGCTGGCAGTACTCGGCACGCACTCGCAGTCTGATGTCTGGAAGAAGTTAGAAGTGAGAGATAATTTACACTTCTTAAACCTTTAAAGAATTCCCATTAAACAGAAAAGTGGAGCTGAACCATCCTCTCTGCTTATAATTCCATTATATTCCATTTTGGAAAGTTACAATTGATCAATTTCCTGAAATTTCTGTTAAAATGAAATGCATGCTTTTGTGGAGGATTAAATCTTACCATGACAAAGATTTTACTGAAAATGACAGTGTGGAAATGGGTTTTCACCCATGCTGATATACCACCACACAAAACCACTCCCAGCTAAGCCCAATAAATGATATACAGGCAGTGCATTTCACATATATGGACATTTAAGTGATGAGATTTGCCATATAAACTTTCTAGGTAGAAAGTTTCCATTGCCCAAAACTTCCAATGCCACATTAAAATAGAATACATTTTGATAGTGCTCTATTTAAATTATTTTAATTTGCTAGGTTCATCTTAGAGTGTTCACAAGTTCACAAGCAAATATAGATCAGCAATATATCCAGCGAAAAAGCATTAGGTAGGACACACATCAAGTGTACAAAACAGGCTTAACATGCCAATAGCTGTCAGAAAATCTGAAACTATGGCATCTAGTTTATTAGCTGTATTGAAGGAATGGTAGAAGTGGTAGCATTGCAATATGATGGTTTAGATTGTGTCTGATGAACAGCACTGCAATAGCAGAAAAGTGAGTAGTTAGCCAAGAATTATGCTGATCAATTTAAAATAAATACAGATAAAAAATGTGTTCCATGCTTCAGTCAAGCACAAAAAAGTTAACATGGCCTGTTAGTATTCTTTGATGCAGGCAGTTGGTCCAATGAATGCATTTAAGATATGTCATTAACCAGATGTTATCAGGACTCACTGAGTAGTGCTAGATAACTGGGTGAGCACGGTCAAAGTTGACTTCAGTATCCAGGGTGTCTGGTTTGCCTTTTTGCTCAGAATTCCCTGCAGTTACTTAGGCACCTGTGACTTAGCATGATATTGGTGATAACTGCATCTGTTATCCCTGTGAATGTCTTGTTCCGCAATTCATGTTCATTGCATGCAATATGACTGACAAAAATAAATGATGTTGTATTAGATTTTATTCCTATCCTGGAAAACAGCAAGATATCCTAGTTTTCCTTATATCTAAATCATCTTACTGATTTAGTTAATCCAATACGTATGCAATTGGTCGAGCTGACTAAAATCACATAAAGACCTTACTAAATGGCAGTACCAGACACATTAGATCATTCCACAATAATCGTATGGAGAACTTTCTGGTGATATGTTTTAAACTTAAAGTTCATGCTAACCTGACGTAATTAGGTCACACTCCTGATTCAATTAAGCCACTGAGAGCAACAGTGAAAAATAATCCAGAGGACGCACTAGCTGTAAAGGACCAGAAACGAGTATCACTAGGTTCTAAGCTCCCGATTCTTACCACAGGTCTGCTTTTCCCTACAATCTGTGGCACTGTGAGCTCTCTTCCTCTTCCTGCTGGGGGCACTAGAGGTGGGTTTCCCTCTGCCTGAGCACACCTGAGGGCCTGTTGGGGAGCAGCAGATGAGTGGTTGCGTGCCTAAAAAACCCAAAAAGGTAACATGGGATTTATTTTACTTTGAGCTGCTGTTCTTTAAGTCTGCAAAGGAACAAGTAAAGGTTTATTCCATCCTGAAAAGAGAAGAAAGGAAATGCAACGTTTCGGCGGTGGAGCCTTCTTCTGGTGTTCTTTAAGTCTGTCTCCCTAAAATGTTGCGTCATTTCATAATGAGGAACTTATGAGCCATTTAAATCCAAGAATCAGTGCTATACATACACCTAAAGAACACCATTCAGAGGCTAATAGATAGATAATACTTTATTAATCCCGTAGGGAAATTAATGTCACTCTTTGTAATATGGATAGTAATATAAAAAAGCACAGACAACATTTGTTAGCATTTTCTTTATAACAAGGCTTTATCATGATGTGAAGTAATATTTATAAGGATAGAAATACCCAATATGGGGATCAAGCAAAGTCTCTTTTAAGTTATCAATTGAAAAGTTCAGCTTGAAACTGAAATAAAGGTTTATAAGCAACATATAAAGGCTGATCGCTGTGAAAAGCTTCAGTAAGGTCTCACCTGAGATCCACTGCTACACATGACACACAAAAACACAGATGTTTTTGATTATGAAAAAAAATTCTCAATATGGAATAAGTAATTGTAGTAACATTAAGAAAGAAGTAACCCTTAGCAGACATGCAAATAAACTAGTAACCAACATTTATTTTCACAACAGACTTTTGATGATATTCACCATGTCTGGAAACTTTTCATTTATGAGAGGAACTGGCCCTTTTATAATACTTGCAGCAACCACAATGGTAAGTATAAAAATGTTGGTTCTTCGGATTTTGTGGTAGTCAAACATTTCCCTTTACAAAATACACAGGATAAACATATCAGATTTTCATTGCATATCAGAAAAATGGCATCCAAGTAAAGAATTCATCTTCGTGGTTTTGGGTGGTCTGATATTTACTCACGGTTTTACTGTGGTGGATCACTCCTAACAAGAATCTCTGGAAGTTTTTAGGTGCTGCTTACCCGTCCTTCGCTGAGATGGAGCCCCCCTGTTCTCTCCAGCACTTCTGGGTGAAACATAGCGTACCGACGTCTCCTCCAGGTACTTATCCACTGGATCGGGACACACTGCAAACATTCAGAAACGCACAGAAAATTCAGGCCAAATAAGAGCTGCAGCATGTGAACAGTGTGCTACTGTATAAGCTAAACAATGGCATCTCATGCAGATTTAAGAAGAAAAGTGCAAATTTATATTTCACAACCACAGGGAATTCTATTAGTTCTTAAAACAAAAAACAATTCTTCCTATACATCTCATAAGGGAAAATAATTCTTTGTAAATCATTTTTAAGAGACATACTAAAATGGTTGGGTTTAGAGAGTTAAGGTACACCTAAGTTATCTGAACTCTCTGATACACTCTTTCTGTTTTGTAAAAGATAGATGTAAATCTTGGAACATTAACAATGTTAAAACAATGGAATTTATTTCCCTTTTGTGAATTAACCACAGTAAATCCATTTGCAGAGCTACATTTGATTTGCTGCTTACACAAAATATGGAATACACTTCCATGCCAATAAGATTCTTGGCTTGGGAATCAGCTAACAGGAGAATACACACTGCTGGAAAACATTTAATATTCTTAAAGTCAAAACACAGAACAAAATAAACACCAAAAACAATACAATTACACAAAATTGTAATAGAAGCCATGTAAAGACACCTTCCATCTATATGTACAATCAATTGTACCAGCGTCATTGACGTATAGTGTCCATTGACATAATGAAAGGTTTGTGTGGAAACCATACCACTGGGCTCTGAACAACAACACATGCCAAAAACACTACTGGCATTAAATAAGTATGTATAAGATGCACCCATCATTTGATTTACAAGCATCCGGTTTAAACATTTTCACCATCACAGTTGTCTGTGAGTCTCATGAAGAGATTTTCACAAAATTAACAAAGGTGTGTCCTTTGTAGCCAAACAAAAGACACCATCCTTATATTGTTTCCTCCTACAACAGTTTCTCACTGCGTCTGCCATCTTAAAACTCTTCAGATATTTTCAACTTGTCTGTTTATATTGATAATTATTGTACCAGCATAAATAGGGTAATTATCACAAGCAATAGTGTTCTTAATTTGATGAGTCTGTGCTCTGTTAGGTTAAAATATGTATTATTGGGGGATTGTCTAGAAAGAAGGAATGAATGGGAAGGTTTTACATGTCAAGTAATGAGAAATGTATTTCACATTTACTGTATGGACTTTCACAAATACAAGCTAATTACAAGAAATAAATTAATTTTGTAAAACAAGAGTTGGGCATATATAAACTAGAACAAGTAAAATAGATGAAAAAAACTAACTTTACCATCATATTCTATGATTTTTGGTGGGGGCTCAGAAATACACATATCAGAACAATGTAAATTTTGTGAAAGTTTATTTTAGAGCACAATTACAAGTGGATCTGTACCACGTATGGCCTGTAGGAATAATCTTACATCATGGAATATTTCAGTTTAAATTTTAACTCTTCAGTGCTTATGCACATTTTTAAAATTATGCACACTTCATACAAGTATTAAGACTTACTGCTGGGTAACAGGATTCGTAATAAAAACAGCTACAAAAGATCACTATCAAGCAATGCAAAATCTCATCACTGGTTCAAGATGTTTTCCAGAAATGTTTAACTTTCAAAGCTGTATCCCACCCAATGGGGTCGTTCACAAGAGCGTATAGAGAGACACAGACTCACCGGTCTGTCTTTTCCTTAGCGTGACGTAGGGAAGCAGGTCATGCCTGGTAATGATCCTCAGGAGCTGCAGAACATGTCTGAAATTAGTCTCGTCGCACCTCCCCTGCCGCTCCAGAGCTAGGAAGAAGTCTCGACCGTTGCGAATGCCTCCGCGCTCGTATTCGTCAATTACATCCACAAAGAGGAAGGACAGTACTCGGACATCGCGGTGTGTGAGCTGGGCTCCCACAATATCGAACATCCTATGCAGAGAGTACAGACCATAGGCACTGTCCACTGCCTCCTCAGGCCAGGGTTCAAACCTGCCAGTCTGTGCTCTCCGAGATGATGGGCCGCGTCCACTGCCAGGTGTGGAGGTTGACGCCACACCCCCCATGGCAGAAACTCTGGAGCTGGAGCTATAGGACGTGTGAGAGTCTGATGGACCGCGGGCGTGGCTGTGAGATCTGCCTGGGTTGGTGGTGAGGTTCCTGGTGATCAGCAAGTGCGGAGAATGGTTAGTGTTGTGCTGGTTTTGATTGTTGGGCGGTTGAGAGGTCATCACTTTGGGTGGAGCTGGACGCCGTAAGAGCGTGTTTCCTTTAAGCATGCAGAGTGGCCTAATCGATCACTGCTGGCAGCCACTCAGATTTCTTCATTTACTCTCCTTCCTCGTTCTTCTGGTTTCCAATGGGGTCTCTGAAAGACAGGACACGGGAATTTTTAATGTCTTCCAATTAATGACTATACAGCAATTCTTCTCTCCTAAAGAAAGGTCATTTGAAATCCAGAGAAATGTAAGTGGGTCTGACTGCTTTTTCTTTAAGGGAACAAAGTGTACATTTTCAGGCCTATACGTTAAGATATATGCCTTGTATTTATTTTGGGGAAATTGAGAAAGGAAATCGCATGAAGGAAATGTGACCCGTGTCACTCTTTTTCAACACCATGTTGAAAGCATTCCCAGAAATTATGTGACTAGTAGTCCACAGGAGGATTCATGGCATTTAAGATAGGACAGCCAAGGCTTTCCATAGCCATGCTCTTTACTGCATTTTACAGCCCCTTTCTCACTGGCAATCCAAACCCAGACTGTTGTGACCCGGGTTAAAATGACTGCCGTATGGAAGCATTATCTGGGCCAGAGCAGGGGTGATCCTTGTCCCATGTGCAGGTGTATCTGCCTAATGTGACAGGGTCCAGCAAGACAAGAAGCTGACTGTTTCTTGTGAGCCGAGAAGATGAAAACCCCTAGTACAAATTTTTACATAGCTCAAAATTGTCAACAGGAAAACTGCATTTTCACTTTTGAGGGTAACAATTTTATTCCCAATGTATCCTTTAAAGGATTTGATACCAGGTGTGTGAATTAAAATAGAAAATGCAACATGAAAAAACAATCCATGCCACCTTTAACATTTTAATTTCATGTACTTTTTTCAACATAAAAACATATAAAACAAATCAAAACATTAGACATCAAAATCAAATATAAAACTATTGTTACAGCCTTAGGTGATGGAGAAGTTTCTCTTTGATTTTAGATCACGTTTGTGACACGTGGAAGAGTAAACACTTCTAACTTCAAAGCAGAGAGGATGTTTGCTGAGGTCTGGAGGGTCCCTGGAGCAGAAACAATTGTTAAATTTACTTTAGTATACCTTGGTAAGTTGTAGGTTAATGATTGTCAAGGAGCAGTACAGAAACACACAATATTAGATCACATTAACAGCACATAGAAAAACACAAGCAGAGAAGAGAGAGGAGTTCGGGCTTGAAGTTTGCGCCAGGTGAGAGCCCCTACTTCAGGATCATCCAAACCAAATCTGACTTGAGCTCGGTAATTGAACCTGGTTAGAGAGAGCGTGCTATTCTGTGTTTTTAGGGAACTTGGGTTACCTGGGTAAGACACCTCAGTTAGAAACGTCTTTCCTGTTTAGGGTGCATTTTTGATAGATAGGAATATTGGCTCCCATTTATTCTGTGGCATCAGGGGTGCAGAGAGAGAGATTTAAATGCAGGTTGCATTGTATTTAGTTAGAAGGCAGCTGATCTCTTATGTGGCCTCTGTAGGCATTAAGAGTTCAATGCTTAGTAGCAGTCCGGGGTTTTCTGAATGTTAAGACTTCTGAAACACCTTGTTTGTAAATACTGTACATAGAGTAACTTGTGTGTTGCATGTTTTGTTGTGTGTAGTGTAGTTTGTGTATTGTCATTGTAATAAATATTTGTTTAACCAAGTGTGCCTGAATTATTACTCCTCTCAAATAAACTGTGCCAGAGAACAAAAAATTATGTGCCTCTAATTATACCAATTGCTCAGGTATATTGCTGGAAATCACTTACAAGTTGGGGGTAATTAATAATTATTTTACTTATTGACTAAACCGCTCGGTCAATTCCTGATTTAAACCATTTTTGTAACCCCCCATTTGTAACAATATTTATTCGTTCAGGGCTGAAGTATTAAAATACCTTATATAGCCCAGTATTTCCATTTTGAAATTAAACTGTCACATATTTTTTAAGATAAAACACAATCAGTAATTTTGTTGGAAAGATTTCATACAAGACTGGCTAACCATCTCATACAGCAGAAAGAAATCAAAATCTCTTGCATGCTATCTTAATTTCCAAAGTAAATTAAACATTGTGAAAGAAATGTTTAGAAAATGCATAGCACTTCTGATGTAACTAACATGTACAGAGGCCATTCAGTAGAAAGATCTGGTCATAATCTTTATGACAAACTGTTTTCAAAGGTGTAGAATAAGCACATTGATCATACTTGTATGAAATGTAATGTGAGATTACGCACCACAACCTAGGCAGACTTGTATATAGGTATAGCATGCTAATGTAAACATCTTAAAACAGAGAGCAACTCCCACTAAACAGGAACAGAGCTGCATCACAGCCTCATAACAGTTAAATAAATTGATTCCATGCAAACAGTCAAGAAACAAGACAGACTCATACAAATGTTTCCTTTCCAGTCACAATGCAGCAGGAGACAGTGTGATGTGCCATGTAACAGTGAGAATTTTGTTCTCTTCAAAGATGAATCACAGGTCGACCAGGTATGGAGATCAACTGTGACTGTAATAATTTCCAACTGAAAAAAACACACTGACGAAATAAGGTGGAATTGATCTATCATACAGAAGTGACACTGGCCATCTACTCCTTTACATAAGGAACAGGCAAAGGTTTATTCCGTGCTGAAAGGTTAAAAAAAAGAAATTTCAACTTTGGAGCCTTCTTTTGGTGTGAGGGAGAGAGGGAAAGCAGCAAATAAATAAGGCAAAGGAGAACAAACAGTATGCAAGAGGGGGTGGGCAAAAAGCAGGCGAGAAAGAGGGTCCAAACTCAGGGAGAACAGGAGAGGTGTGGAAAGCCACAATTTTCAAATGAATTGAGAGAATTAGAAGGAGATTAGTCTGCCTTTGAGAGAAGAGGGAAGCCAAGATTCAAGTTGTAGGATAATTATGGTTTTGGATGTCTTTCTGCAATAGAAGGTCTGAAACCCCTCATTGAGGACTCAAACGGAGAGATTGGTGCGCGTGGTCATTAAAGGTGAAATGGGGAACTATCATTTCGGAGAGATTTTTGATCCTCACAGCTCTGACATGTTTCCTGAACTGGGCTGTCAGTCTTCTTCCAGTCTCACCAATTTAAATGGCTATACACACTTACTTAAACGTATCTATTTACATAAGGTACCGCAACTGCTAAACAGGTAACATCCATCCAAGCAATTTCTAACTGCTTTATCCATATTGAATTGCGAGGGAGCAGGAAACTATACTGGCAAGGCAACAGGTGCGAGGCAGGAGTGGAGTAGAGGAGTTTATTGCCATAGGTACTAGTACACAGGAATTCTTATTCATTCTGGATATGAATTATGTCTCTCGGTACATACATGGTACAACAGACAACACCACACAATGCAGACAGTACATTAAAAACATAATAATAATAACAATATGAAAAATGAAGGTTTCGGGACAATAAATATGTAGTAGTGAAAAAAAAAACCTGGCAGACCATGCAAAACATGCATAGTGTAGACAATGGAAACACAATGGAAAGTATGCTGGTCCATCACAGGGCAGACACAGACTCGCAATGTCTCTGGACAGAGGGTGGAAACCAGAGAACCTGGCAAGAACCTCAGGTCTGGAATTGAACCCAGGGCCAATCACTGCTTTTTTTGTGTGTCCAAACCCAGCCTGTATTTATCTCATTCTTCGGGACAGAGGAATTGCCATGAGTTATAGGCCTGAATTCTGAAATTAGCATCACACTATCCTAGAAGCATTTCACAGCTGGCTGCTGCCTGGTGACGAGCATGAATCCTACAGATCCTACAGAACGACCCAGCTCCTCTTCTCAGACTAGGAAGATGCATGACATACTGATGCTTCTGGTGGAGTACAAAACAGTGGCAACCAAGACAGGCTCCATTTGTTATTCCCTTTTTAGATTTGATTATAATTAGAAAATTAAAATTCACACCGTGTACGATGACACAGAGTCAAGCACTGTAATTATCTTCCTCTGTCAAGCGGACGATTTATTTCGTTATTCGTGCTTATACTTTGCATCCTACTCGTGTATACAGTAACATTAGCTGCATTACCACGTCTTAATTCTGTGTAAGGCAACAGTATACGCAAAACAGTACAGTATTAACAGTCCAGTTTACGCATAAATGACGGCACTACATGTATGTTTAATATACGCCATGATGTTTAGATTCTTACTGCATGCGTTTCCTATGACGACAAATCCGAACACGGCACTTTGTTAAACGGCATAAACCCCGACCTGCCCAAATGCTCAACCACCTCACTTCCCTGGAGAAGATGTACTAGCTGACTCTTTTAACGTATGACCCGAGGAACAGGTCGGGTCTCCCCCGTTCAGTCGTGATGCAAGAGTCGTGTGCACATTACAGTCCAGGATAATTCTACCCCCATTACCAAATCAAGCTCATGAGAGACCTTCCCCCCTGATCTGTCGAAATATCCGACTTCCATTCTCAGCCACTGACAACCAAACAATCGAATGTAAATGATTCTAAGAAAAGTCGCTGTAATGCACATACTGCGAAAGGGGTAGATGCTAAAGCTTTTGAACACCTAACGACATTCCACTGTACACAACACACTGTATGGCTCGTTATAGCCCTTCAATCTATAAAACCTGACACGAAAGCCATGACAACTACAACAGAATAAGAAATACACATTTAAATATAAACTTACCTGTACATTTATTTGACGTGGAGGTATATTTGAACCTAGAATATCTCAAAGACACGAATGTAGAATAATTCTGGGCGTTTGAAACGATACACCTTTCTTCAGTCGTTAATTGAAACTTACATGTCGCAAAAAGCCAAACAAAAACAAAAATATAATCATATTTACTGCCCAGATTGACCTGTATTTGCTGAGCCAAGTCGAAAACAAAACAGCTAAAGAAACGTTCTGTTTACTTTTAAAATATTTCTCCGCGTTGTTTTTATGTTGTGCTGGGTTATTCCGATAGAACAAAATCACAGTCCTGTCTCAGTTTCACTTATTTCCTTCATTTACAATTATAACTTGCGTTTTCTCCTTACTTATTAAACGATTTGATCCTTTTCTGAAAAGCTTTTTAAATATTTTACAGTTTTTTCAGTGTTATTTTCTTCCTCCTCCAACTAAAACCCAAAAGAGACAGCCATCTTTGCTCCACGGCTAAAATGAAGGAACATCCGGGACATCATCCAATTGAGGGCAACATCCGGGGAACGTTGTCAGCTACAAAACCTCAAGACAGCCCGTCGTCATCTTAGCTGCTGGTGTGTGGAGTATGTGGATGGAAGGTCCGGGAACGTTTTGTTTAATTTGAATTTTAAGATGAGAATTTCGAAGTAATTGTTTTTAAAGCATCTTTAGAAGTATTCCTGAACATCTTAGCGATTGTATTAATAATAATATGAATTCTAGAAATACTTGATTATTAACGTTTTTTTAATTAAAAATATTCTGGAAAATAATGCTTCATAGAATATATGTATGCAATGTTTGCTTTTTTGTCAAAAACATTAAATAATACTCAATATTTTATCAGAAAAACTTAAAATTTAATCTAGTAAAGTAAAAAGCAAAGCTTTTGTGAAACAAAGCCTGCGATAAAATAACATAACGGAACACGATACCACCGGGTATTTTATCGGACCAATTAGGGTGAAGTACACTATTCAAGAATACGGCACCTCGTTTCCTCTGGGATTTTCACCCATGCTTTTCCTTACCAGAGTCCAGAGCCTTGACGGCCGCTCCACATTGCTTCTCTCCTGATGTGTGCTGCATTCACAAATTTATTAGGCCACTCTGCTTATAAAAACACTGTTTAGCTTGAGTTATTTCTGAATTTAGAATGTTCCATTGTATGTTTTGAATTTGTATTATATATATATATTTCCCGAGTAATATCAATCTGCAAAATAAAAACATTAGCAAACGACACAACTGACATTTACATTCCTCTTCTTAGAAATGTCTCATTGTGGTTGCACTTTCTAGAATACAGGACATTACCTTTTCCTCTGGTGCTTCTTCTGTTTTAGTTTCCTTACTTATTCTCCTTTCTAGAGGATCTGGTATGGTAAGAAGATGGGAGATTACACCAGGTGTGAAGCCCACTGAAGCCCTGGAAAGTGATATCTGTGCAATGCTGAAATACTTGTCCCCCTAAAATGACATGCGATCTTGGATATTCAGGAACTATTTAGGTCATCTTATGTGAGAGGAAGCACTTCCTACAGCTTGAGGACATGCAAGAGACATTGGTTTTGAAATTCTGCTTCAGGGTCTGTGTGTGTCTTTAACCACCTCCCCCAGCAACAACATAATTTTCCCATGATACCCTTTTCACATCACAGACAACCCCAGTACACCTGAGGTGGCATGAACTTACCTAGAGCCAGAGAGAAAATAAATGCGACTTTGTTTAATGATGATTTACCAATGATTAACATACATAATCATTTACATGCTTTACATACTTACTGTGTTAATTCATTTTAATATACTTAATTCATCCCAGAGGGGCAATTTAATAAGGTAAATAAGAAGGTTTACACGGTTATATGTCTAAGTTATTTTATTAAAATTGTGTATCATTTAATTTCATGTTGAAGATGAGCAATTCAGGTTCTTGAAAGGGATTTCTTAAACTAGTCATACAAAATATAACTTCTATTCAAGTGAGAAACAGGGTAATCTGGGGAAAATACCAGCAGCTGTACATGCTTTTGTCTGCTTTAGATCATTTCACCGGTTGGATTATGGTAGCCACCTTGTTAGCCACTTTTAGTACATTTATCAAAATCAGGACAAAAGAAAACAGGGTTTCAAGATTCTTCTTTATTAATTACCAAACTGTAACAGAATTAACAGATTTTACCTCAAAAAAGTAAAGCAGTCACACGAACCCCCAAGAAGTATTGGATAATGGCACCTGGATGTTGTTTTTCTTATACAGTAGATCTTCAGATTATACTAGATGTTATGGTGTGGTTTCTGCTTATTTGCCATAATAAATAAATATCGTAGTAATGATAGATTTGGAAAAGTCTTAGAGGAAGAGATGAAGAAGCAAATCAGTGCAGACAGCTGATGTAAAAAATAGTTTTCTCACATTGGTTTTGGTGGCCCTTAGAGGTCACATGAAATGCTGCAGGCTCCCAGCCTACACTACCCAGGCTGCACCTGGGCAACTGTGCACGGCCACTACAACTCACACTGTCACAGCAGGCTAATGACATACACCAGTGATTGCCAGCCGTGGTCCTGGAAGAGCCAAAACCAACGTCTTCTGGTTTCTGCTCCAGTTGAATTCTTAATCACAGGCCAATTGGTTTTAGTTTTCTATCTGGGGCATGCTTGTAAATCTGCTTTCAGCTCTCAAGAGTCAAACGGGATTTATAATTGGTATCAGCTCTGTACCAGTTTCTGAGATTCCGCCATCAGTTAGCACTGGAAATTAGAGCTCAGCCGGAATGAAAACTGACCGAGTGTCCCTTCAGGGCCCGCTTGGAAAACTGCAGTGCTGCATGGACTATAGGGTTCAATTTGCGTTTTAAATAAGGAACGTAAATGGTTGATTTATTATATCTAAATCTTCAGACTGGCTATTTACATTCAACATCTGCTGCACTCTCTAAATTGACCTGGGCCAAATTAAGTAAGACCCACACTTGTAACTTCTAAGGTATAAGTTTGTGAAGCCGACCACTCACTTCACACCACTGTCTGAAAATGGAACTTTAATCAGCAGCACGAAATAGGTTTCTGAAAAAAAAATACACTAAACATCAAAAGAAACATAACTCCATGAAGGTCAAGTAGGTAGCTATGACAGCATGCGTAGGCTGCAAAAAAACAGGTAAAGGTTAATTCCACCCTGAAAGGTAAATAACAATATTTCATCTGTGAAGCCTTTTTTAAGAAGCATGAAACATTGCATCGCTTTGCTTTTCCTTTCAACATGGAATAAGCCTTTACCTGTATCACCCCGTGCATGTGTTCATGTACAGAAAAATGACAGAACACCTGTGATTAGGTGATTTAACCTGGGGATACAGAAAGCAAAACTCAAAAAGGAGCTAACATCCCTCACATATCAAGAGAATAACACCAATGCCTGCCAATGGCCTGTTTTAAGCAGGGCTCAGTCACCACACTGTTGCCTGATGTCTACACAGCCACAGGTAGGCTGTGCACACAGCCTGCAAATTCTAACCTGACAAGATGTTGCAGCCTAAAATATCTGGGAGAACACGAGCCACAATACCTCACCAAAATCAATGGAGAGGTCCAAGTGTGATGGTCTAGGCAGGAGTGGCTCACCTCTACAGAACCTGGAGTGCTTGTTGGCAACCTGACAGCACAACACTACACTACATGTCCGGGGATCTCACTCTTGCTGCCCTGCTTGCGGGCCCCTCCTGATATGAGTGACTGCAGTCCAGGAGGACAGCACATGTCCTCATGCTGCTGGTACACCAGTCTTGAGCCCCTTTGAACACGTAGCATCCAGGTCTCAAAGACCTCTTAGAAGGCACAAGCTTGTCTGGGCTGTGAGAGGACTGGGACAGAGTCCAACAAGACAGCATCTGCAATCTGTCACGAAACACGCAGATGTACAGCTTGCATTGAAGGCCAGGCATTCTACTAGCCTGTGGCTCCCACAGTAAACCCCGTTATTGACTTTACCAAGGGCATGTCTATCCCATATATTGTTAGTGCGCCTGCAGCAAAAATGATCTTGATCTTGAGAGTAACTTTGAATTTGTTGCATTTGTAAGGGACAGGCTTTTTTAATGCTATGCTAAATATAGTTTTACTTCTCCATCCATTACTACAACTGTTTAACATACTTTTTGTCTTTGTCTAGGTTATCCTAGACTAAAAACCTTAGTGAAAAATGACTTCTGTAAATGTAGCTTGGCCTAATCTACTAGGTATCCCAACGTAGAAGATGTCTTTTAAATCAGAAGTGGTTTGACTTTTCTGTTGAAAAAGGCAGCGGTCATAGTCCTAATAATAAAGCCATGTCTTGTTGTGACTACTTTTAGGAGTTTCACAAGATTGGTTGCTTTGCCTTTTTTAGAGGTCTACGCACCAACACATTTGAAGGGACTGAGACCGATAACGACCTTCAACACAACACTAATTACCTGCCACACACCCTGAACTAAAACCACAGTGCATGCAAGCAAATATCAAACATTGAGTGAGATCAACTCCGAACAAAAGTCAAGATGTTTGCATTGCAAAAAGAATGACATGTCGTTTCTTACTAGATCAGCTTTAGAGACAGTAGGAATGTAGGAACCCCAGAATGTGTGGTTTAAATTGAATTTGGAGGATAGACACGGCAGTACAGAGTGATGCATGGCTCTGTGGGTACATAGCAGGCGTGTCTGCTGTGTGGTCCTGGATTATCACACCTAATCTCAATCACATAAGAGGGGGACGTGGATGTGATTTAGTCTGGATTGCAACAAGCAATCCTGTGAATCCTGTGAAAGGACATACAGTATCCTTCACTCCACATGAACACCTCTGCTGGATGAGTTCCATTGCTTGGTTCATTTCAAAAGAAAATGCACTTTGTTTTCATTCCAGGTTTCAGATCCACAGAGTGACAATAGTGTAATATTAAAAAAAACAATATTAAAAGTATTAGAATAGGTAGCTGAAAGGAGAGCAGCATGCATGTTTGATGGTTTTTTAGCTCTGGCAGCTCATTATAAGGATGTTCCAGTTCAAGCAGCCAAACAGCCAAGTCTGGTTCCATAATCATAGACAGTAGAGTGATGGCCGGTCATTTCCTCCACGTGGATTTTGTACATTTTAGTTAATTAAATCCGCTCATTTCTACGTCCGATGTGTTCAATTCATGCAAGTTACAATTCGTAACATGCATAGAGTGAATCGTCTTCCAGGTCCACAGTCCATCCGGACAGGACACCAGTGAGGCACGCCAGTAGAGGCAGTGTGGGGACAATGATCATGTGTGTGACCATGACGGGGCAGGTCGAAGAAGTGAGAGAGATCTTCAGATACGGGAGGAAAATTCCTGCAGAGTCCCAGCTGTTCTGAGAATGAAACTGCAAGTCTGCCCCAACAGTCCTTCATCTGCTGGCTTCACAACTGCTCTGTTCCTCAGACACATCCCTGTCTTTCAGCTCAGAGACCCATAGAGAAATGGATTTGCAGGGTACGGATGGATCAAGGTTTGGCCTTAAATATTTCAGGAAATGTGCAACTTCAAGGCTAAAACACTAGTGAAAAGCACACGTGTGTGACGGGCTGAAGGCGATTCCCTAGTCTCTCTCATGTCCTTGAGGATCTTTAACAGGTAACGGTAACTTCCCTGCGCTAGAGAAAAGGAGTTTATAAAGTTAACCAACACATTACTTTCTGTTCACTTGCCAACTCCCGGGGATTGCAATATTTTATTCCTCCCAGAGGGTGTATCTGGGGGTTGGCCCAACGCAAGCTCCCAGAGGGCAGGCTCTCATTCGTGAACCCCTACTCGGGCACCCAGGGGCAGGGGAGGCTTGGCATGCACAAGACGGTGCCTCTTGAGGTGCTGGAACTGGCGGAAGCTTTTCCCACACTGGGCGCAGGGGTAGGGAGTTTCCCCGGAGTGGATCCGCATGTGGACCCGCAGGTTCTGGACTTCGCTGAACCTCTTCCCGCACTCGGCACAGACGTGGGGCCGTTCCCCCGTGTGGATCCTCTGGTGGGCCTTCAGGGACTCCAGGAGGTGGAAGTCCTTGCCACATTCCCCGCAGTGATAGGGCCTCTCCCCAGTGTGGGTCTTCCAGTGGCGCTGTAGGCTACGGTAGTGACCGAACCCTCTCCCGCATTCAGTACAGCGGTACGCCGGCTTCTGGGCATTCCCGTGCTCATCCAGGTCCTCAGCGGAGAGGTCCCGCCGCCTCCCGTCGCCAGCATGGAGCCTCTGGTGGGCTTTGAGGTTGCCCAAGAGGTTAAAGGTCCTCCCGCACTCAGTGCAGAGATAGGCCTCTCCCGACGCCCCCGCAACGCCGGGCGTCCAGGGCTTGTTGCAGTGCTGTGACGGATTCAAGTCCTGGCGCCAGAAGCTCTCGCCAGCGTACATGTGCTGGAGGTTTCGCAGCATGCCAGTTGTGCCTGCATTACCGCCACCATCCGCCTGGCACTGTGTGGGCTCCGCGGGCTGCTGCGAGCCTGCCCCCGCTCCGGAGTATTTTCCGGAGGGTAAAATCATGGAGGGGAGCAAGGAAAGGGCAGACACGTTGGGGACGGGCTGGTAGGGCTGGAGACCGTAGTTCCACGGGACGGAGGCAGAGGGGGACGGCTGTCTGGAGAAGGGGGCAGGAACAGGGTGAGGGCTGCTGCCTGTCTCGGGCGGCAGATTCTGTTCATGCTGATCAGACAGTGCTTCTTTGATAGGTACCTCCAGGCAATGCTCCGTTTCCACTTCTGAAACATGACAGACAGGCATGATCTAATAGCAACTCAGTTAAATTACTTTACACATTATAATTCTTCAACTCTCCTGAGGGCTTCTCTGTAGGTCAAGCCTGGACATTTTCGCTTACCTTCTCTGTAACTGTTCAGACTATTCTGCTCTCATATCTTGTATCCTGAGCTCAGCTCTGAATTTTTATCTAGCCAGCATTAGTGTTGACTTTTACTCAGTGTACGGTATACCCATTCTCACCTTTTTCTGTATTTTTATCACCATGAAATAACCAGAAATGCATAATACACATTAATAACTAGAGATAGTTGTTTTCTTTATTCCACTTTTAATTATATCATCACACTGCCTGCCTACTTTATCTAGGCAGACAGATGTCAGAGCTCCTGGTGGCAGTTCAAGCACTAACTTAGAATTTTTGTCACATTCCATGTTATTTACTTTCTCAACAAAAATGTGAGTTGCCTACAGAGAAGGACAATGCCTTCTGCATACGGCTGTCAGCTTAAATATCTGCCCAGATGGCCAACAGCTTCCTGATTTCTGTGTAACAGGGCTCAGCGCACTGAGCGAGTTACAGGTGTGATGTCACACCCTCTCAAATCTAGGCAGTACAGGACCTGGTCTTTTACTGTAGAGGAGTTATCTGTTGTCTAGGAAGTGAAGCTCTGTGTGCCCAGAGTCTATGTAGTAGGGGGTGCCGTGACTTGGATTTCTCTGAGCAAAAGCAAAGAGCAAAAGAGGAATTTAGAGGGGAAGAGTAACGGGGCTCAGTGTGCTGAGCCAGTTACAGAAGTGACATCACCTGCTTCAGATATCTAGGCAGAATGTAAAACTCTGCCAGGGCAGTGGACTGATCTTTTGGTTTAACGGAGTTATCCACTCTCTAGTGAAGCTCCGCGTGCTCGGAGTCAGCGAGAGACCGGAATCAAACCCCAGCAGGCGCGGGGGGACACTCATCACGACTGCTTGCGTACTCACTTGCTCCACCATCTGCAGCTGGCAAAGATATAGGACCGCCCTCCTGTGTCATGGGATCCTGGCAGGACAGCTCCCTCACTAGACGCCCCATTTCGTCGCAGCCAGACACACAATCCAGACGGGGGTCCCCCTGGGACACGCCACTGTTTCTGGGGCACCCTGCCGTGGGACTTCCCATCTGCTGCTTCCGTGGAATCATGGCTCCAGCAGCAGTCCCGTTCCCGAGGAAGAAGGCAGAATCCAGTGGAGAAGCATCTCCTTCACACACAGGCTGGGAGACGCCGAGCTCGTCCCCTGATTCCGATCCCGATTCCAGCACTGGGACCTGTATGATGTTCAGATCCATCTCGGCATCTTCTTCCTTTACGCTGCATGGCACTAACTCCTGATCCTCTCCGCACCTCTCCCTGTGTCCTTGGTCCCCGTTTCCTTGGACTCTCGTTATCTGGGGAAACGTGTTGCCTTTGGCAAAAGGTATCCACTTCTTTTCTTGTTTTGGAGCTGCTTCTCTGCTCGTGTCCTCTTGGGCATGCAGACCTGCTAACACACAGAAGCGAAAGTCACAAGACAATGCTGAGGGTTCTGCCTCTGTTGCAGCCTAACAAACAGCTGCTGGTTGTCAGGAAGGCAGGCAGTAGAACGGTACATGTCCAGGATGTACACACAAGCTACAGTAAACGTCATCTGATATCAACTCAAGCATTCTGCGTGAAAACGGATCACGATCGTTTTCGCTTCCAGGATTTTGCAAGATGTCGTTCATTATGCTAATTTAGACCTGTGATGTTTTTATTACAATTTGGAACTACTGTACTTGTACATTTACACAAAAATGCTCACATGAGATCAGAAAACCGATTTTCTGTGGTCCTCTGTTCGGTAGGTACAGTATGACCCGGCTTGCCATAATATCAAAGCACGTGAAAAGTTACTCCTCAGAAATGAAGACCGATAATTGTATTAATAACAGTATTAAAACGTTTTCCCTAAGTTTTTACCTTCTCCGAGAATATTTCATTCGAACTCCTTTTATGCTTTACGTACAGTATACATCATGAGTTATCTTAATATAATGTGGAAATACTGTAATTCACATCTTATTGTAATTCTTCCATTAGCAGTTTTATTATGTATTAAATCTTGATGACTATAAATCCAAGCCTACCGATATTTATAAAATAGATTCGCGTATAACACACTTGTAAAAATAGGAAACAGTCGTAACTATACTACAAATTATGCACTCACATTATTCGCAGTGTTTTACTAAACCAAATCTGGCTTATCACACTTTCATTTGGATCAGCTGAATGGTAAATATTTTAGGCACTTTTAAATACTGTTTAGAGCGTTTAAGATATTTACTCAGATAGGAGCCACTTTAAAATCTAAAATGCTTTGAAAGGAAGCCCGTAGGAAATTAAATGAAATTTCTCATTAAAAATCTGTGGAGCAATACAGGATTTTTTACATCAGTGATGCTGAATTGAAAACAATCTCACCTTTCTCCGTTTCCAGTCTGGGAGCGGGGATACCCCTGTTCTCGCCGCGGCAGGTCGGTGTGTGATTTTCCCACAGAGCCTCAGTCTGACAGTTTGGGGTTGCCCGCGGAGGACTGTCCCCAGTCTGGGGTGCGGGTGTGGAAGAGGCGACCTTTCCAGCGAGCGACTTCGCCGAGAGCACTCTCCTGGTGCGCAGGTCTCTCTTCGGGCTGCCGACGCGGCTCCTGGAGGATGAGGGCACACGTAGCGCCGCAGCCTTGTCCGCGGAAGTCAAGATGTATCCCCGCAGTGCGCTCAGCTCGCTCTCGGCGATTTCCACCCGGAGCCTCAGGTTCGCCATCTCCTTGCCGTTCTCGTCCATTTTGACTTGGAAAACAGCGAATTTGCTGTCGATAAGCTCCGACATAATGGCTTTGAGAAGCGCGTCGGCCCTGATGACATCTTGATCCTTGTTTTGGACAGGAGAAGGAAAGCTGTCACTCCTCTGCGACGTAATGATCTCGCCCATTTCCGAAGCCGGACAGTTCATTGCGAGTCCGCAGTCCAGTCTAAAATGCGATTTACGAGCTGTTAACGGCTTAGCAGTACTGTTGTAGTAGCAGTACAGTTCTTGTACATCAGGAGCAAGCAGTACTGTAGCTGTAGCAAAGCAAGGCTACAGCAGACAGTGTGTAGGACACACGACGCAGTGAACGGTTTCAGTGAAATGCTCAGACAAAAGAATAACCGTAGCGACAGATCATTAAGGCATTCAGTTTTATCACTTGATTTTGACGCCAGAAAAATGTCAACAGCTCTTCTTTTCCTTGTTGTAATTTCCTCGTCGTTTCATTCTTAAAAAAAAAAAGAGAAGAGCAAAAATAATCGTCTTACTGCTCTCAACTACAGCGCCCCCTGAGACTTTCCTCCATCCCTGCTTTTCAACAAGTATCTCTAGGCTGTATTGTCTTTCCTATCTTTTTCATGTATTAATTAAACGCCTTGGATGTATGTTTTGATGTCATATGTTGTATATCAAAGTTTGTGTCAGGGTTTCGGGAAGAACAAACTCATGGTCATCACGACATAAAAACCTAGGTTCTTCAGTGGAATAAAATAACTCATAAAAAGTGATGGGTTTCTCCTTTACCTCAAACCAAAACCAACTGTACAGTTAAAATCCTTTAAAATTGCTGTAGAAGTATTTTCTTATATTGACACATAGCATGTGATAACAAACATTTCCCCGAAAATAGTAATGACCAAGCAGTTCTTGGGTGAGATCGGATTACAGCACTGACGAGTGCCAGAGGCAGTGTTACAGTAGTTCACGCCTTGCAGCCGCAGGTCTAAATTGAAAATCCGGTACAGATGCTCTTTTCTCATTTGTTTGTTCATTGTGTTACTCCGTTGTGGCTGTCTGGTGGAGGTGTTAAAAATTGAAAGCGAGAAAGATGCACTATGAAACTGGATTTCTGCTGGTAAGGTCATTTAATTAATATCGATACAACCATTGCTATCTCTACTATTGATCACTGTATGTCGAGGCACATGAGAGGTATCCTTTTGAATACTTTCGTGTCCATGGCATTGTTTTTACAAAATAACAGCTTGGGTCTGTTTTAGGCATACTGTACATAACTGTAATTACTCTGGGCTTTTAAAACCTGACCTTTCCAAAGTTCTGTGAATTCTAAAATATTTATCACTTGATAATTGTGACTTTTTTATGTAGTGGGATTAATCGAGTGGGGGCTGTACTTCAGGTGTGGATGAAGTCGGTCCTATTATTTAATTGATTGATGAAGGTTCTTTGGGATTTCTGTAACACAGAGCGACACATACTGTAGATGTGAAGAAATTATTTCAATACTTATTATACCGGATTCTAAACTGTTACATAACAGTTACCATCGCCTATTTTATATAAAATTCATTTGACTTAATAAACCAGTCCTGATCATTTTAGTTAAAGAATAACAATAGATAAAAACACGGTATGCACTGACTGTTGCGAGCTCAGTTTTAAGGCGAGTTAAGTTTCGATTTCCCGACGGATGCTTTAGAAAAGATGCGCGGGCATGTTTCGTCACTAGAGAGTTTTCCGGAGAAACTGAATGGAGACAAATGACCACTCTTGACTGGACATTGTGATAATGAAGTTGTCTCATTCATTCCTAAAAATTGTAACTCCAATACTGATTCACCTTGCTGCCATTTACACACACAAAAAAAAAAAACAATAACTTTGAGATTGGTGCAGAGGTACCTCAATAGAGATTAATATTTTGCATCTCAGTCATATTTTTGTATCCCTATGTTCGGCAGTCTTGAAATTTACAGAAAAAAGAAAACTTTTAATTTCCCATTCGAAATTTCGTTTCTGCTTGTTTTGTACGAGATACACGCTCGCTTGTAAACCTGTCAGACAACTTCTACGTTTTAAACCGACGCACGGAAGTTTACAGAAACTGGACACGTGAACATGAAATATTAGGGATCTGTGCGTGAAATATGTCTTCCGTGTTAAAATAATAATTGATTTAGGTAGTCAGAAACCTGCTGAATCTGAGGAGCGAGAAACTGGTAATGTGGTAACTTTTCATGACCTACCCAATCAGATTCTCAAGATCTGTTCCAATTACACACGATTCCTTTATAAGATACACTTCCCGAAAAACCCAATTCCAGAAATCCGTGTGAATACATCTCATACACCTCTGTTTCATAGATCATGGCTGTCATGTCTAGAAGCTGGGCATGCGTCATTATCTGAATAAACTATACAGATTGAATTTACCTTTGAAGAGTAAGCTTATACTTCAGACATGAAAACTTTCAGTCTTATACTGTATAGCTGGAAAGTAAATTAATGATGTATAAAAACATGAGGGACTGACAGTGAAAAGACACTTTCTAATTTTTCTCTCAGTTTTAATTCATTCATAAATAAATTATACAAATACTCAGTAAGTAGGTGCATTCAATTGTACATATACCACTACTAATCACTGCTAATCATTCATTTATCCGTTTTCTAAACCACTTTACCCAGTACAGTACAGATCTGTGGGGGAAGCCAGACCCTACTCCAGCAGGCAATGGGTGCAAGGCAGGATACACCCTAGATAGGATGCCATTCCATCACAGGCCAGCCAGACACAAACATGCACACTCACACCAGGGCCAACTTTCCCAGAAGCCAGTTACTCTACCAGTATGTCTTTGGACTGGGGGAGGAAACCAGAGCACCCAGAAGAAACCAAAACGGACTGGGGGAGAACATGCAAACTCCACGCAGATAGCGCCCCAGGAATTACTATTAATTACTATCAACCACATTGAAATTTGAAATTCAGTGTTAGGAACCTAATCATGAATGAGTGGACTGTTAAAAAGTGTTTTTGTTAATGTTGAAAGATAAATCTTGAAATCAGGGTAAACTTTACTGACTTCAGGGAGTGTTTTTCAGCTCTGCTCCATCCTGGTATCTGTGCTGGGATCCTCATCATTCCACACTTTCCCCTTCCTGGCTACTTGCTCCAGGGAAGCAGAAGAGAAGTCTTGCACAGATCAGGGGGAGATGGTGAGTGAGGAAAGCACATGGAAGATTTGTTGTGAGAAATTCCAAATACATACTGTACACAGAAAAACAATCTGGTATGCCTTCAGTTAACAGAGTATGTTACAGGAGAGTCCAGCCCTGGTCCAGTTGAGTCACAGACCTGGAAGCCAAAATCTGGAAGCATGTTAACTTCTCCCTTCAAAGGAACAAGTAAAAGGTTTATTCCATGCTGAAGAGAGAAGAAAGAAAACACAACATTTCAGCTGTGGAGCCTTCTAACACCTGAAGTAGGCTCCATAGCCAAAACATTGTGTTTTCTTTCTTCTCTTTTCAGTATGGAATAAACCTATTACTTTTTATTTTGCAGCCTACGCATGCATTGAATTAGTAATCATGGACTGGAAAATAAAATGAATCAATTAAGTTTCTACAAATTTATAGGAGGATTGTGCATCATCGCCATCTTCAAGGTATTTTTGTGAATAGTTTCACACAGAGGCATATAGAAAAAAAAAGTGACATTTACAATGTGACCTAAAATATCAAGTTTATCTTAAGGTTTGCTAGTGCAAACAGTTTTATAAGCCAACATACTGATTTATAATATCACGACCAAACTGACAAAGGATGACCAACCTACTGACAACCTGAACCTTGTTCACATTATTTCATTCAGGTCCCATAAAATTCTGCTGGACTAGTAACTACTATTACTATTGGCTTAGGACTGGTTAACCAGGACACAAATGTCTCAACCCATTTTTTAGTTATCTAGTTATGTACGTTTACTGGTGAGTTCTGAGTGTCCCTGATTGGGGTATCTCTCTTTACCTTAGCTGGCAAATGATGACAATACCTTGGAATTAAAGCCTGGGCCAGAGATGGAGAATGCAATGGAGCTCGTGATCAATAGGAATGGGAAGCTCTCTGTCAACCAGGAGGCCTTACAGGTGCTGTCCGAGATTGATAGGCCAGTAGTGGTTGTTGCGGTGGCTGGGCCAGCCCGAACTGGAAAGTCCTACCTACTGAACCGACTAGCTGGCAGGAAGAAAGGTAAGGGACCATTAGATGTTAGGTTTCCATTGGGTGGATGTGTGGCACCTTTCCCACCAGCTAACTAAAGACCAGTGTTTGTGTGACAGTCTGTGATCATTGGAAGTGGGCTCAGGCAATAATTTGGCTTCCATGGTATAACATGGGTCAAAATTCTTACTGAGTTTGAAGTGAATTTTATTCTTAAGAGGCTAAGGCTAATGTGGACACAGTGCATTGGAATTTGATTTGAGGGGTATTCAGAAAGCATTCGTCAAAGTTTGATGTGGCCAAATCTCAGGGGCTAGGCAGGCCTGGGTCCACTCCAGGCTTAGACAACTCAGGTACTGCATCCAAGGAAAATAAGTTGCGTTGTAACATTTCAATAAGAAATTCAAAAGCAATGCCCACAAATGGTAACAGGAGCTTTGCATTACAGACGATGCTGTGTCCTGGGATGGGATGTTTTGTAAGAGCATGGGTGTTTATCCTGAACTCATGATCAAATTGAAACACAGGATGTGCGACGTACTGTAGCCTGCCTACGAATTACACCTACTTTAAGTGGCTTACTGTGTCTTGCCTGCATCAGTGCCACCCAGGGGTAGCTATTTAAAAAAAAAAATAGAGATCTCAATGGACGTTTTTAATAAATAAAGCAGACTTTAGTTGAGAGACTCGTTTCCTTCTAATCCTCTCTATTCATCTGCAGGTTTTGACTTCACCCCTATCTCAACTTCACTCTACCTGACTGCTCACTCTGCTTCTCTCCTGCTCCCGCCTCCTCTCCACTCCTGTCCTTTGTTCTCCCATGATTTATTAGCTGCTGACTTTCCTCTCTTTCTCACCTGCAGAAGGCTCCACAGCCGAAACATTGTGTTTCTTTTCTTCTCTTTTCAGCATGGAATAAACCTTTACTTGTTCCTTTGCAGCCTACGCATGCTGACGCCGCTCCCTACTTGTAATATCTCTTTATCTGTATGTGGTATGTTTCATAGAGAAGCATTAGTGGGTTGAAACATTAGAAATTTGTATAGGTATGGGAAAAAACAAGTATACTGTAGGTCACAGTTCATCATCAATATAGGTAATATGATGGAGGGATGGACCTTCCCTATGAAGCTGTAAATCAGGATTAAAAATGGAGCACAGTCAATGAAGCCTGATATATGTAAAATACTATGCAATTAGAGTGAATCCTTCTAGCTTCATCCTGATGTTGTTAGAAGAAAAAAAAACTTTTGAAAAAGTCTATTCATGTTAGATTGCTACCAGCTGGTACACTCCTTCCTGAAGCATTTGGATAGCAACAGTGTGGTCATGAAGGGTACAATAGGTTCTAGGACAGTGAACATGACTCTAGCTGTGTATAATTTGTACTGCGTTCATGTGCCATTATGAGATTCCATCCTTGTCCGAAGTTAGCTGTCTTGCTGTGTTTGTCTGACTCTGTTGTCCATCCTGGTTGTCTACTATAGTTGCATCTCCCATCTGTAATGGGAGTCATGCTGGCTGAGAGACTGTCACTTCCATTAAAAAGCATGTTTGCTGCTCTAATGTCTTTCTGCACTGAAGTCTTCTGCGGAGAGTGATGGTGATGTTATTCCTTGAGTCTTCGTTTTCTGCAAGAACCCTGCTGGTACCTGCTTTTTTGAAAAAGCTCAGATTTTTTTGCCCTTTCTGACCTAGGTTTTCAGTTAGGTTCTACTGTTCAGTCTCACACTAAAGGAATTTGGATGTGGTGTTTGAGACATCCCACAAACCCCGATCACGAACTGGTCCTGCTGGACACAGAGGGCTTTGGAGACCCAGAGAAGGTGGGTTTTCATGTTTTCATCAGAAATAACAAAAGCACAGTTGGGTATGTGTTTCCAACAGCAGTTCTATCCACCTAAGTCAAAGCAGGCAAGCAAATGATCAACAACTCTGGATCTACAGAGCTATTGAAGCAAGAGCATGAGGTGTTGCCAAGGAATTCAATTGCTTAAATATTTTTTTTAATATGAAACTGAAACCTTTGTTATGTGATGCAAAAAATATTTTCCTGATCAATATATTTAAAAGTGGGGTCAGTATATAGTAATGACTGTGGCTCTGGACCCCCTTACCTGTGCCCTTGAGCAAAGTGCATTGCTCTCAGTTACTCCAGTATACCCAGCTGATTAAAGGATCCTGGCAGCTGAATAAACCTGTGATCCTGTTGTGTGCTTATGCTGAAGATAACACCGCTTCTTATAGGATGGTTCCTCTCTTGCAGGGAGATGACGACAATGATCATTCGATCTTTACACTAGGCATTCTTCTCAGTAGTATGTTTGTCTACAACAGCGTGGGAAATATTGACCAGAACTCATTAAAAGATCTACAGTATCCTTGAGTTCATTGTGAGGTACATGATTTAACAGCGGTGTTCAAGTGATGTGTAAGTGATCTGTTCAGGGCTCCTTATTTATTGATTCTTATTATAACTTATACGTTTAGCTGTGTCAGCATGCGTAGGCTATAAAGGATCAAGTAATAGGTTTATTCCATGCTGAAAAAAGGGAAGAAAGGAAACACAACGTTTCGGGTGTGGAGCCTGAAGAAATCACTCTTTAGAAAATATTCTGCAGTCTGACCCTCATCAGAAATTCCAATGTTTTCACAGATTTTGTAAAAGATAAAAAATGAAATCATCCGAACTCTAAGGTTGATTGTGAAGCCAAAGAGAAATGTATGTTTCTTAACACATCTCCCAGCTTTGTTACTAAGCTTGCTCAGTGGATTCAAAAAGACACCCAAACCAATGGCAGCAGCACGAGTGACTTTATAACCTTCTTTCCCGAGTTTGTGTGGATCCTCAGAGACCTAACCTTGGATCTGGTGATTTATGGCGAGCCAGTCACTGCAGACCAGTACCTGGAGCGCGTTTTAAGGTTAAACAAATGTGAGTTTCCATTGCCTAAGGCAATGTTACTGTTTATTTTTTCTTGAGTACCTGTATTTCAGTTTCAATGTGTCATACAACCACCTCAGGAGAGAAGCAAGCCACAGTTCCTCTATCACAAAGCTTAGTCGTATCTTTACTGCATCTTTCTGGATTCTTAGCTTCAGTATACCACACTGTATCTCATTCAGTCTCTGGATTGAAAATTGAAATGTACAGCAAGTTCTTGAAAGGAACTGGTAGTCAGGACAGTTCTAGGTTTTAGTTGGCGGATCAGTCAATTTAATTTGCCAGAGAGCTAATCCTGGATTGAAGGCAGAAAATTATTTTCCAAGTTGTCCAAGCAACCAATGAATTCTCATTCTTAAGTATTTATTGGGGGAGAAGAAGTCAGAAAAATTTACATTTTCTTCTGTTTTTCTTAAAACTCACAAGTAGCAAGCTCAATGTAAAATTGCTCAGTGTTATACATTTTTTCTACTTTTTTCTATTTCAGACACTGATGAGAAAGCTAAAAAGTTCAATGACCTACGAAGATGCATTCGTGAATACTTCCCTTCCCGGAACTGCTTTGGACTTGTCACTCCGACAATGGCGTCCAATCTGAAGAGACTGGAGGAGCTGCAGGATCACGAGATGGATCCGCTGTTCGTTAAACAGTTTGCAGATTTCTCAAGTTATGTTTATAACACAGCAAAAGCAAAAGATGTGGACGGCATGTATAATGTGACTGGCCGAGGTGAGGTTACACGAAGGCTGCAGAGTGGTCCAATTGCTGTCATCACGATCATTTTCTCTGATCCTGTGTATTGTGATTTTGAAATTTTACAAACGGTTGGGGTAATAACTGTTCCTATTTTCCTAAGGAAAAGATTATTCACAGAAAATTATTGCAAGTTTTTAAAAATATATATAATCCTTTTCCCTGCTTATCTTGTCAGTTGTGTCCAGTGTCATACAAAAAGTTTAAAATAAACTTTAGAGACAGGCTTGCATTTGAAGTCTTTTATAGGGCTGGACAATTTAATTTCACTTATATTTACACTGCTGACAGTACATGGAAGAGTAGTTTCGGTTGAATGGTATTGCAGTTATTGTAATTCTTTTTAATCTTAAAATGTAGTGTAACAAGTAAGTTTGTCCTGGTCTGGAAATTCTGTGTAATGCAGTTTTCCTTTGCTTTGACATACCATATCACATTCAGATCTTGAGAAGTATATGTTCTTGGCATCTTGGGTAATGTAGTCTTTCCTTGAATTCACAGTGCTGGGCAATTTAGTGGACACATATGTGCAGGCCCTGAACCATGGTCAGCGCCTGTGCGTGGAGAGTGCTGTGGAGAGGCTGGCTGATATTGAGAACTCTGCGGCTGTGGAGAAAGCTGTGACATATTACACCAGCCACATGAACAGCTCCCCTGTAACCAGCCTGGAGGAGCTGTTTAAACAGAACACTGAGCACTTCAACAAGTCCCTTGAGATCTTCCTGAAGCACTCCATGATGGACAGAAACCACACCTACTACCTGAAACTTTTTGTATGTGATTGAAGCTGTCCTCTTGTAGTAGAAGATAGAAAATTGTCTGTCCGTTCTGGTTAGAGGGGCATTCAGGCCTTCATTTTAGGATTTAGATTGAGATTCAGGCCTAAATCTGGGTGTTATAAATTAATTTTAAGATTTTGTATAATTATTAAATGAACTGACTAAAACAGCAATGGTCTCGTCATACAACAAAAACAACCGCTGCTTAGACAAAAAATACTGAGCTGATTCATAAGAAACCAAAACTGATTATTGTTTTAAAATAACATTCCCAACACCGAATTACCAATTTGAATTCCAGATGTTGTATTTAAAACACAATTATCCTGATTGGACTGAAAATAAGGTTGGCTAAATTCAGGGACATGGGCCTTGTTTATTTACTGCCATATTGTGATATCTAAAAGACCTTGAATTAATTAGACTGTCTATATTGTACTTGAGAATGATAATGAAAAATACAGGAATTAGCTTCCTGTATGTTAAAATATATAACTATGAATTCAATATGATCTATTATTAAGCATAATGTGTATATACAGTATAGCTATGCGTAAATATATGTGAATAACTTAACACTTTATATCCATTATTTTTTTAATTAATCTTTAAAACACCCTATCCACTGTACTTGTGTCATTTATGCTGTCCTAAAATATTTTACTTAAATGATCAGAAATAACACTTGAATTCTTTCTTCGATTGTAAAAGTGTCAAATGCAGACTGTAGCTGGCTTTTTTCTATTTTCTGTTTGTGTTGGATTGGAAACTATCCTATTACCATATGCAGAGTGCCTTGACACCTGTAGCCATTTGTCTTTTTCACTTTCAGAGAGCCTTGAAAGAAAAGTATGAAGATTTACGCCATAATATTGAGACTGAGTCAGAAAAAAGGTGCACATCAGTGCTGAAGGAATTAGAAAGCATTGTGAAAGAACGCCTTACTTCTGGATACTATATCAAACCAGGGGGATATGGAGACTTCACAGCAGACGTAGAAGATACTGTAAAGAAATACAATGCAAGGGTGGAGGGAGAAGTCCTGGTATGGTATTTTACATTTCTGTGTCAACATCAATAAGAAAACTAACAGATGTACAAGAGAAAACTCTTGTGTCTCTTTCATTGTGAGCACAGGAGAATTTTATAAAGAGATTTAAGTTCTAGAAAATTTCATCAAAGATACTGGTGTTGTGAACTCAGGGGAGTAAAATGTTTGAGTGAGGAGCTGAAACAACGACTGTTGACTGCAAAGGCATAAGTACTGTAAAGGTTTAATCCAGAAAATAAAAAGGGGGAAACACATAATTTTGTTAAGCCTTTGCCAGGTGTCCAAAAAGGCTTAAATGAAGAAGGCTTAACAACCAAAACTGAAACGTTGGTTACAATTGGAACACAAAACATTCTAAGAATCATTTAAAAACTGAAGCCTACCTAGAGATATACTTAGACTTTCGTTAAGGATCTCTCTTGATTTGAAACTTAAACCATTACCTAAAGTAACACACTCTGGATTAAGCTGAAGGTCTTTCTCTCATCATAGAGAAAACAGAATTCTGAAAATGACAAAAATGTCTCTCTCCCGTTGTCCCTTCATAGACCATAGGGACTGTTTTTCTCTTTTGTCTAGGCAAGCAAAGTTCTGGACATATTCTTGCAGCAGATTAATTCTTACTCTAAGAACATACAGAGAGCAGATACTTTGTTACAACAGGCAGAGGTGAAAGGTAAGAAAGAAGCATTTTTTACATTGTAATATTTTACAACCTTAACATTTGATGTCAAGCAGTGGAACTAATTGTTCATTAAGCTTATTTGCTGCTTAGTTGGCCTCTCTGGTTTTCCATATGATGTGGATCAGCCCAAGAAATGGCCCAGAGATGGTTTCAGTGGGCTGCCGGAAACAAAATGTGAGCTAAAGTTAAAAGACCTGTTTTTATACAAATTAAGATTCAAATTTCTGTTTTATCTCTTAGAGACCTGAGGGAAAGTGAAAAAGGAGCCAACTTTCCCTGTGTTACAAACATTTCTGTGACATATAGTTTTGAAACTATAGCTCTCGAGACAGAAACAATTGAAGCTTTTATATATTTTATTCTTTGTGAACTAGACACTGGATTTTAGAAGCTAGCATGTAGGTATTAAGTATCTCTTGGTGCTTTTTTCAGAATTTCACTTTTCGCAGCTCAGTTCAGAATGTTTTGTTAATGTCAAAATCTGTCATGTTTTTCCTGTCAATCACTTTCTGCACTTCTCCATCCTTAAATGTGTAAGTATGGTGTAGGCTTACAGAGACATTGATTAGATTGATACATCTGTATATTTCAAAATCATATCTCCTGCTTAGTTCTGCATTACAACTGAAGTTCTACACCTAACAAGTCACTTGGCAGTGATATTTCTGGGTGAGAATTGTCTTGTGTGTATTCTCTTGCCCTTCCTTCAACCCCTGACAAGAGCGCCTTAAAGAGCAGCAGGAAGAATCAAAGGAAAAGGCGAGGAGAGAAAGAGAGGTGGAAGAGAAGGAGAAAATGAAGCAGAAGGAGGAGGCCATTCGAATGCTGGAGGAGAAAAATGAAGAAATCACTCAGGGGATGACTAAGAGAGCTCAAGACATCATTAACAGGAAGAAGCAAGAACAGGAGGACTATGAGAAAGAAGGGAGTAAAAAAGACTGGGAACGGATGAAATGGGAAATAGAAAACTATGGTCATAATCAAAAATTGCAAAGGAAATCTTATTTTGAAACATTTAAGAAGCTTTTGCAGTGGGTCTTCAGTTGGTTTTACTGAAGCAAGTTAGAGAGTTCAGGACAGCAGTGGGATAGTGGGTTTTTGAAGATGGTCGTATTTAATTGAAGTGTAATGTCATTTTAACTTGCCACCTTTGCTTTCAAAATATTCTGTTCACTGTGGCGATGCAATGTAGAAAAATGAAAACAAAATCCTTGTTGCTCAATTACGTTTTTTTTCCCTTTGATCATCTATTTTTTGTGGTGAATTTGATCTGATGGAATACAGTATGTCCATTTATTATTTCTCATGTACCAGTGGTGACAGACATTCTTGACATACCTTCAATGTCTAGTTTAAATCTGCTGCTCAGATCTCCTTCTTTCTTCTTTAGTTTTCAAAGGTTTACAAGTTGTTCATGTGCTAATGCAAAATCAGCCTCACACAAAGATGTACTTTTGTTTTTTCGCAGTGCCTGTAAACCCAGTTTAAAGTGCAAATGGGAAAGGGGTTCAGTACTTCACATGTATTCCTCTGTTCAATGAAGGTTTTAAAACATTCATGTTTCTTTTATATTTTTAAGGGGTAGATGGACATAACTTATTTTACTGCATTTTTTCAATCACAATAAGTATCTGCATCTTTATATCCATGATGGATTTCACTTTTTCCTGTCTGAAAGTGTTGCATGTAGTCAATGCCAGACTCCCAGTGTGCTGAGTTACAAAGCATTTCTACTGTACCTTCCTGTTAACCTGCATGTTAAGACACACTTCATTAGCAGCTCACTTTTAAGCTATTTATCTTTTCTCACCTACTCAGATTGAAAATTTAATTGATTTATTTTTGAAATGTATTTATTTAATTTTGGGATTATAATGAATCAGCAATGATGAGTGCCACAATGCAACTACCAAGTAAGATAAGATCACTTTATTGACCAAATACAATTTCTTGCATTAGGAATTTGTCTTTTCAATTCAATTCAAGGTGATTTATTACCATGACCGATGGGTACAATCAGTATTGCCAATGTCTTTTCACATAGCCCAACTTGCTCTCCATGAGACACGCAGACAGGGAGAGAAGCTTGGGGTCAGAGCGCAGGGTCAGCCATTTATACGCCACCCCTGGAGCAGTTGGGGTTCAGGGCCTTGCTCAGGGGCCCAATGGAGTAGGATTCTCCTGCAGGCTGTAGGATACAAACCGTCCGCCTTCCAGCCACAGGCACAGATCCTTAGCCCTGAGCCACCGCACCGCACCAAGTAAATAGTAATGTGTACAACCTCCAAAAAGTCAGACACTGAGACATCATTTAAAATATCTAGTTGAGTTTAAAAAGAGAAAAAAGTATAGAGGTTGTGAGGAGACCACATTTCTCATTTGCTCACAGTGACTAGTGAGCAGAAAGAGACAATTTTACGTCTCAATTCACGAGATCAGCGTTTTCAGGTCTGCTAGCGATAACAGGGCGACCATACAGTGCGGTCACAAAGTTCCTGATTTTACACTTAATTAAAAATGTGTAAAAAAAATTGTGATTTGCGATTTCGATTTCAATTAATTTAATACTCAAGGTTTATTGCTTGGTCTGAGAAATTGGGACTGTATATCCTCTCTAAGGGGAATATAAGGAATTTCAAAGTGCTCATATGCTGTCTATGGATTGGGAGAACTCTACAAAATGGCACACATTTCAGGGTGGAAGGCATAACACCAGACACCACACCAGTGAAGTTTTTATCTGTTAAAGTTTGTCTCGAATGATATCATCTCAATATTTTGTTATATTTGATCTAACATGAACTCGTCATCGAGTTGCCAATTACGAACCTTTCTGTAAAACACCGGGATGAAACAAAAGACTAAGGCTTTTCATTTCAATTGCAGAACAACAGACGTTGTATTACATAGACACTGTTAAAGTACTGTATATTACATCTCCCCACAATATACTGTAGAAATAAGCAGGACAAAAACACCAAATAAAAAATTAACCAGAAAAAGCAGGATCAGATTTCAGCATGGAATAAACCTTTACTTATTCCATAACAGTTGTATACTATATCCAATCTGTTACTAAACCGCCTTAGTCCAAATCTGAAAACATTTCATATTTATAGTCCAGACAATATTTTCCTATCCTGCCAAGGAACAGGCACAAGGCAGGATATACCCTGGATGGGATGTCAGTCCATTTCAGGGCACACATACTCTAGACACCAGGTTCAGAAGCCAATCAACCTACTGTACCACAGTCTTTGGACTGTGAGGGAACCAGACTGACATGCAAACAGGGGCGTACACACAAACTCCACACAAATAGCACCCCAGGAATTGAACCCCGGGCGCCAACTCCTCAAGGCTGCAATGATAACCACTGTCCCACCCTGCTACTTAACAATTACAGTTACTGAATGAATTTTAAAAAATGTGGTAAACAGAATTATATGTTAAAATCGACTGTACAGTAATTTCCGTTTTCGGGAAATAATCCAGACTCTTAAAAAAGCGTTGATTACGAAATAGTACATTCTCGTGTACTTTACTGTACAGTATGTGATAATCACGCGGTAGCACACATGCAATAATTATCTAGAATGATCATTAATTGACTTTCAGTTTCAGTTTTTTTCCAGTTTTACGGTGGAATCGACTGCGTTCCATATATATTTTTTTGTATTCACATTAGGTAAAAATGGCAACATTTCGTTATAACTAAACCCCGTGCGAAAATAAGTCCGTGCATACTCTGCGTGTCACGAACACGAACCCCACAGTTCCTGCTGAGCTACCTGTAGTACAGTATGTACTGTAGGTGCTGTGTTGTGCACAATGTCATAGGCTGTTTATACACTCAAACGATCATTGCTGTCATAACTACCGTATGTACTATCGAATAATGTACTCATAATAATGAATAATGTACTCATAATCTCATAATAGCGACATAAGTGTCGTTTAATTACACGAGATAACACATGAAAATATTTTCTTCCTTGATGGCAGCAACACGCTTCCTTAAACGATCGATGATTTCTGCTAAATTTAAAAATTAGAAACGTGATTCCTTCACAGGCGATTACTAGTGACTTTTCAAGATAAATTTCAGATAGGTTTAATTTGAATTTTGCAATAAATGGGAAACGTGTTTACATTAATCCATGAATGAATCTGTTATTCTTGCAGATTATAAAATTCGAATGTATTGATTTATTGCATTTTATAGCATGTTTTTATAAAACCGGATAAACAATTACAATGAAAATAAACATTGTGTACTCCGCGTGTATGTTAATTACTAAAGGAACATGAGCGGGGCTTATGAATCAAATGAAAAAAAAAACGCCTCCAAAGCTTCACTCTCAGTTTCAGCCTGTTTGAAGCCTAAAACGAAACTTAAGCTACTTGTTCCATGCAAGTCAACTCGTCAGTCACATTTTTGTTGATCAGTTAGTCAAAAGGGAGTGTTTTCTGATAATTGCCAATTGAAGAGACCCTTTCCGTCTTAACTGCTGGAGCTTCAACAGTTTCCAAAGTCTCTCCGCTAGACGCAAGAAGTGTCTGGTAAGAATACGAAAGTGCTTGAACTGTGATTTTAAATAATCCTTGCTGTTTTAGTAACCGCTTGTTTTTGCGGAACTGAAACTTCGAATTATTAGTGTGTGAACGGCGGCATGGTAGTTCTACTTGTATGTAATAGTTCAGGTGGGGAGCTGCGTCAGCATGC